TAGAGGTCTGAAATGTATCTTGGCTGAACTGTCCCCTGAGTTGTCATGATGCTTCCGGTGTATCAACAGGAGCCCTGGGACATGAGCTAGGCTATTACAAAGCAATCTGATTTACTCTCTCTGGTAAGTACTGGGAACGTAACCAACTTTCCACTCATGATTTTATGAGTTAAAAGTTTCCAGTAAAGGAAACCTTGAAGGTAAAGGGTCCAACTGTAAGCATATTTAGACAGGGAAAAGTCCTAAGCTGAGGCTTTTTCTCCTCCTACAGGACATAAGATGGCCAGCAAAGTGAACGAGCACCTGCAAAGTATCTCAAGGAGGAGAAGCCTATCAATGGCAACTAGCCTTGCTGGCTATGTGCCACCTGTTAGTAGAGGAGGCGTGCCTAAGTGCACTGACTGCTGAGGAGCTTGGGCAGCTGGTTTGCCACCATGTGAATGGAGTACTGGCCTAGATGGACCATTGCTCTGATCCAGCATGGCATGTCCTATGTTATGGTCTAATTATTCATCTCGGCATGTGAGATTTACCACATGGCTTACTATACATATGTAGACCAATGACATCACCCCAGTAAATGCAGGGAGATTTCAGTCTAGAGGCCTATCTTTTAGAAGTCTGTTTTTTAAATGAGCAAAATTCTTCTGGTATAGGCACACTATCATAAAGAGGTATTTAAAAAGCTTAGTCAATTATATGAGTTTCAGTTAATTAATCAATTCAGTCAAATTTGCATATGGCTAAAAGGAATTTTGAAGCAAGAAGCATGCTGTTTTTAAATAAGTCACACGTTTTAAGCAGCAATCAGCATAAGAAGAGGCATTTCGTGGGGGGGGGGGAGGATGCCACTTCTAAGATGGTGCTTTGTGTAGTTTTCAGTTAATATAAACCAGCTAATTGGTTTGATTAATTGAATAAAAACTTTTAATTGATTTAAAAGATGCTGCCAATTAAGGCAACATCTTGTGATTTAAAGGTGCTGCCTTACTAATTGGCAGCACCTTTTAAATCAATTAAAAGTTTTTTATTCAATCAAACCAATTAATTGGCTATGCAGCCCTATTATTCAGTATTCATTATCCAGTTGCTGTGCAGGATCCACATATCTTTCCAGATTAAAGTTCTTCTGTTACAGGAAAATCACATGCTTCCAATGCTTGCACAATTGCTGCCAAAAATGCAGTTTCATTCTAATAGCCTGGAAAGGAAATAAAGATTTATACTTTTAGCTATAGCTATAGATTAAATTCTTTTTTAAGGGATGGGGCTGTCACTCTGCTTGGCACCCTATCATTATACTAGCTTTCCTCTCAGGTCAGGCCCCTGTCATTCTTGTTCCTTATTTCTCACTCAATTCTCAATTGTTCCACTGAATTTCCACTTAGCATCCTGTTGTTTTACTGCCATTTTGACCCAGAACTATGTTATTGCATTGATTTTCTTTCAATTTAAAATGCTGAATGCTTCCCAGTTGCCATGTAAATACAGTGTTCTGTCCCCTCACATGGTGGTGTCTGTGGGGCAACGTAAGTGTAATGTTGGTGATGCCAATATAATGCATCAAAGCTAGCGAGGTTCTTTTTTACTGGGGCTCCTCCTGATGTGTTTTAAATACCATCATAATGCGCAGGTTTGCCATGCTGAATATAAATTATGCATTATTACCTTTGGAAGGACCGTGATGATTTCTGTGGCCACTCAGGAATGGCCTTGCATGCCATTTTTCTTGGTAGGAAGGTGGGGCACAAATCAAATATTAAAGGAATCATCCTCTGGTCATCACAGCCTAGCATCTCTGTAGCTATTCTGGCTATGGGGAGGAGGGGGAGAATGAGAGAAAGAGATTAGGAGTGCTTCCAGATGGTTGGCTTCTAGCACTACCAATCAAAATATGCTGTGCTGCTTTTCTATCTTTCCCACCCATGGCATTGAAAAAGAAGAAGAAAAAAGACCAGAAACCACGGGAAGATAAAGAAAGCAGTGAAGTACGGCAGAAAAAGTTTGCACTGGAAGTTTCCAAAACAGCATTTTCCTGTGATTTATTTTTCCAGGGAAATTTTCTATTTTATAAATTTGTAATGAACAAACACAATGAATGTGTGTCAATTGCAAATAAAATGACCTATAACAATTCTAGGATACCTTATTTTAATATTGTTGCGCAAAGTATCGTTTGGTTTTGTCTGTTTAGTATATTTATTTTCCTTCTCCTGGGTACAGGACTTGGCATTTATCCCTATTAAATTTCATTCTGTTGTTTACAACACAACACTCCAACCTATTAAAATCCCTTTGAATTTTGTTTCCATCTTCCAGAGTAATACCTATCTCACCAAAGTTTGTGTAATTTGCACATTTGGAAAGCATTCCCTGCACTTCCTCATCCAAATCATTAAAAAAATGTTGAAGAGCACTGGGCCCACAACTGAACCCTGTAGTACCTCATTTTTTACCACTGCCCAGTTAGGGAAAGTGACATTGATGAGCACTTTTGAGTCTGATTCTGTTGCCAACTATGGATCCACCTGATCAATGTTCCATCTAGCCTAGCTTTTAGCTAGTTTGCTATCATGAGGCACTTCATCAAAAATCTTTGCAGAAGTCAAATTACATTCACAGCATTCCCACAGTCCACAAGGGAGGTTACCTGATTAAAAAATGAGATCAGATTAGTCTGACAGAAATTTTTTTATGCCTTCTTGTAATTCTATGCAATCTGCCAGATTTCTTCCATTGCAGCCTGGACTTCCTTTCACTTACTTTATGTGGCCTTTTTGTTTTCAGATTCTCTTTTCAAGAAGCCATACTGGCTTCTTCTGTTTTCTTCTTTTCTTGCGGAACTGTCTGCAGTTGTGCCTTTAGAAGGCATTTCTGAAGCAAGATATGTGAAAGAATACATATATGTCATCAAAGTGAGAAAAGTGTAAGAAAAGTTACTTGGCAGGTTGTGCAGACTCAATCTGTGAATGAGATGGTAGTATAGTGTGAAGGTGTCAGATTTGTTATGCACTTGGAAACATATGGAGACAAGGCAGACCCACACAAGAGTTACAAGTTCCTCTTGAACCAAAATCGAGCCAGACATTTGGCACAAAGCATTAAAAAAATGGCACAACAGCTTTAAAACTGAACCCTGGAGAAAAAAATAACAGATGCCGAGAAGCATTTGGTTCAGGTGAAATCATTCCTAGGGAATGAAGATTAAGAAATTTCTAATTGCTCAAATGTTGCAGAGGAATTGGGGGTACTGTGTTGCAGTGGTTGGAGAAACTGAGATTGTGAGGAGCACCAAAATTCTCTCTCCAAACTGGGAAAATGGGTATCAAAATCACAAATCTGATTCAATATAAGCAAGTGTACACATTGGGGTAAAAGCCCAGCTTCAAACATAAACTCATGGGATCTGAGTTGGCAGTAATTGACCAAGAAAGGGGTCTTGGGATTGGGGTGGCCAGTTCAATGAAAATGTTGACCCAATCTGCTGTGTGAAAAGCAAACACAGTGTCAGGCATAAGGGACTGAAAATAAAACTGCCAATGCTATATGCCCATTTATAAATGTATGGTGTGACTGCATTTAAAAGTACTGTATATAGTTCTGGTTGCCACACCTGAAAAGGGGCATAATAGAATTGGAGAAAGTGCAGAGAAGGGCAACTAAAATGATGGAGTGGAGCAACTCAACTATGAGGAAGTGTTATAACAAGTGGGGTTGCTTCGCTTAGAAGAAAGGTAAGAGTAGACATGACGGAAGTGTACTGAATTATGCAAGGTGCACACACAGTGGTCAGGGAGACTTCTCGTCTCTTCCATATATTAGACTCCAGGGTCATCCTATCACACTGACTGGTAGGAAATTCAGGACAGATACAAGAAAGTATTTTATCATGCAGAATGGAAAAAACAGAATTTGCTTCCATGAGATACAGTGATGGCCACCAGTTTGGATGGTTTTCAAAGGGACTGGACAAATTCATGAAGAAGATGGCTATCAATGGCTACTAATCCTGATATGTTAACTCTGGTAGTTGAAGCCTATGCACACTAGTTGCTGGGGGCTTGGACAGGAGGGTGCTGGTGCACTCATATCCTTCTTGTACGATCCCGTAGGCAGCAGGTTGGCCTCTGTGTGGACTGTTAAGGTTAGGCCACTGGCCTGATCCAGCCTGGCTCTTATTTTCCCCTAACATGGATACATGTCTTAGTGCATTGGTCCTCAACTACAGCCCGCAGGACGGATCTGGCCCACCATGGCCATCCATCCGACCTGCGCCGCCGTTCACCACCCACGCTTGCTGCACAGGTAGGGAGGTGGTGGCTCGCTCAGAGACCATCTCTGAGAGAGTAAGCCACCACCTGCCTCCTGTACGTGCGTGCTTGCAGCTGCCTTGCAGGGCAGGTGGGGAGGTGGTGGCTCGCTCGCTTGGAGATGGTTTTGGACTCACTGGGAGATCTCCTGATGCCGCCTTGCACAGCCAATGCTTCCTCACAGGCCCGCGACGGTCACCACAGCCTTTCAACTGGCCCCCTATTCAAAAAGTTTGAGGACCCGTCTTAGTGTGATGTGAAGCTAATACTGAGAGAGGCACTGAAGATGTCTCAACAGCCATAACAGAAAAGAGCTAAACTTTCAGGATAACCCCGCAACCCTAAAATATCGTGAACGAAGCCGGGCGAAAATGGGAAGTCCCCAACAAGCCACCCCGACGTGCACACATTATTTCTTTTGCTCAACCTCAAGCAGGCGATGAAAGCAAAACAAAATTTGTTAACGAGCGAGGCAAAGAATGGGGAACGGACCGCAATTTCAGGCTCACACGGCCTAAAATAGCAACTTAAAAATCTTATCCGCCCACATAAGAAGGACGGAACCAGGACGCTCGGTAAGCGGACCTGGAAACGGCAGAGAGCGCTGAGAGGGAGGCGCGGCCGCTGAGCCGCGCAAGGGCGACTCTTCCCGCCCTTGGCTGCAGGGGCGCGCCGCTGCAGAAAGCGCGGCGGCTCCCTCTCGGGCCGGCGTCGTGCCAGCCGCGCACGAACAGGCCGCGGAGGCTCCGAAAATGGCAAAGCACGTTTTCCTCACGGGACCCCCAGGTAGCCTCCCTCGCGGCGCGGCGCTCGGCGAGCAAACAGAGAGGAGAGCGCGCCGGGGGTGGGGAGGGGTAGCCATGCAGCCGGCGGAGGAAAGAAAGCGCACGGGGCAGGCCCGGCGGGAAGCGGGCCTCTCCCGTAGCTCGGCCGCCCCCAGGGCGGGGCTCTTCTCGCGGCACCGGCGGAGTGAATTCCGCCTGAATGGCCGGCGGCGGCCCTGGGAGCAGCGAGGGAGGGCCCCCAGTTCCTGGCGAGCCGCGACGGAGCTTGGCGGAAGAGGCTCTGCGGCCTTCTGCCTCCCTCCTCTCTCTCGCAGTACGGTGCTCTTTTTCCGGGGAGCAAGGCTGGGCGCTGCTGGGGGGGGGGGGGGCTTCTGAGTAAATATATTTGAATTTCCAAGTTCAGTGCTTATTCTGCAACACCGCCCCAAATATCTCCTGCTCGTTTTACTGGCTGAGTTTCACAAAGTATGAAAAACTGATTACATGGTCTAGCTTACTCGGTAGAATCCCACGTAAGCCTTACTTAGAGAAGACCCATTAAAAATGTATTTATAGTTGTCAGCTCCATTTAAGTCCCCATTCAGTTGATCTTCAGATTTTACTCAACGAGATAGGTTGTCATCCTAGCCACACTTTTCCAGGACTATGTCCCACTGCACATGGTGGCGTTTAGGATGAATTTGCATAGGATTGGGCTAGAAAGCTGCAATTCCCAAACGTACTTACATGTGAATTTATTACTAATTTTTATAGCAGATTGACTTTTTGTCTGCCCTCGTGGCTCTCACCTCTTCTTTTTGGATCCTTTGCAGATTTTAAAAATTGTTTCTATTTCAGTCAATAAGCAAGGATCTGCGGTGCTCCTTACTATTTCGATGGCATGACTTAACTTTTAAAAATGATTTAGTATGTCAGATGTAAGCAATGTACAATTATGGAACTATCATCATTGCTGTCCCATTTTATTGCAATAAATTGGATTCCTGGGAGTTTAAATTATGAACTAAGGAAACAGTAATTTATCAGAGGATGCTAATATGATTATACAATATGACAGGAATAGAGCTTCAGGTGAATTCGAGGTTACATTTATAAGTATAGACCCTGTTATTATATAGCATTCCCTGTGGGAAAAAATGAAACGAGGGAAATGCTTTAATGAAGAGGGAAAATCCTTAATAGAGGGCACAACAAAATAGCTAAACAAATATTCTTGCATATATAGGCTACACCTCTGATCTTTGTAAACTGATGATTGTATTCCTAAAATGATAGTGAGTATCTGTGTAATTGCACAATACATTACCTGCTTGGAAGTTCCAAATTAGGAACAACTTCTGTTTGCAGCATTAACCATTCACTCTGCAGTAAGACTAATGGGGAATTATTGCTGTCATCATGTGCAAGTGTATTTTCCTGGAGGATCAGTGTAAAAATGTGGTGGTTTTATGTTCCCATCCCATGTTTCTGGCATGACAGGGCATAAATGGCATGGCTTTATAATATAAAGTATTTAGTAAAGTTCGGAGCATAACAAGAGGTGCAGGCTACCCCTGGAAGGCCTCTTTGCCTAGCACCTCCATTGCAGTGACACCAGCTGGGATCAAACAGCATGACAACCCACACTCAAATGTCCAGTACGGACTGAGTGTAGGTTCTCATTGAACCATGTGTTGTTCAGTAGCCTGAACTCAGTTGTACCAGCAAGCAATGACTTCTTAAGCAGGAGCAACCCATGAAGACAGCCCATTGTTTGTTGTTGGCTGGTGAATGTGGGTTATACATGTTATCAGACAACATGATAGTCCATGATATAACAGCACCCCACCCATATTCAGTCCTTGAGTTATCATGTTGTTTGAACGTAGTCAGTGTGTGCTTCAGTTAGGAAGAAGCCAAAAGGGTCTGTATAAAAATATTTGTTTCAGAGTGTAACAATGCTACTGAAGAGGTGGCATTACAAAAGCTCTTTATGTTTCAGGAGTTGGAAAAACAACATTAATCCAGAAAGCTGCTGAAGTTTTGAAATCATCCAGTTTCCCTATCGATGGATTTTATACACAGGAAGTGCGAGAGGGTGGCCGAAGAATAGGGTTTGATGTTGTCACTCTGAGTGGAAGAAGAGGAATTTTGTCTAGAGTTGGGTATGGATCTTAAAAGATATTCTCTGACACTATATGCTGAGACCTTTGTGGAATACATAAATACCTATTTAAGATCACTGCTTTTGTGAGTGTGACATCACTATGTGGCAGTGAGAATGGCTTTTAATTTGAAAACGCTTAATTTGAAAATCACTCATTGCCTTCTTCAGTGAGTCTTACCTTCTCATGATGTTCCCTAACTATGACAGCCTCAGTTTTGTCAATTTGCTTTTAGGGAAAGTTCTGATTTGATTTAATTTAGGACCTACTTGTTTGTCTTTATCGCAAGCTTCTAAGACACTTAATTGAAAGTTGGACTAATCCCACTTCTTGAAGCTTCACTCCCAAGCTGACATTGTCCTAGAAGCTTACAGCTTCTGGTAGACTCCATTTTCCAGCTCTGTTTGTCATGTTTCATATGAAAAGTCATACTGAATCAGACCAGTGGTCCATCCATCAGGCAACACCGTGTCCACACAGAGGTAAACCCACTGCCCACAGGATCCCTCAAACAGGATGGGTAGAAGAGTTCTGGCTCCCCAAGTTCCCCAGAAATTGGGGCATGGGGGCCCACCACCCTTGATAACAAAGGTGGTACATAGCCAACAAAGCAAGTAACTATTGATAGCTTTCTCTCCCATGAATCGGTCCAGCCATCCAAATTGGTGACTATCACTACTGCCTAAGGTGATGCATTCCATAGTTCATTATAATGTTACACGTACAGTCCAGTCAGCACTGGGATAGCAGCAGCCATTTAAGAAAGATAGAAGTAGCAATCTAAGAAAGGGTCAGGAAGAGGAAAAGGTATGAATACTTCGTTTTATTGTAAGACTGTCCAGAGACCATTTGGTAGCAGACTGTATGCAAAAGTTTTACATAATGCTGTTGGTATGCCACCCATGGTTTGTGGTTAAGGAAAAGAGTCCTAGAAAGTTCGTTAATTGTTCCTGTTGTTTGCAGTGACTAATTTTTACTATTGTCTGTCTTTATTCAGTTCTGGCCATTCATCAGCAAGGCATGAATATCGTGTTGGCCAATATATAGTAGACTTAGCTTCATTTGAACAGTTGGCTCTTCCTTTGCTGAGAAATGTGAGTCTGGAGCATCTGGAAAACTGTACTGCTTTCGGTGAAGAGAATGTGATCACAAGTTCTTACTGAAATGAAAGTACATAATCCATCTTTCCAGCGACTATATAGGCCCATACACGTAAAAGGCAGTGGTTCTTTTTAACAGTATTATTCTGCCTCATTCTTTAGGTAGCACACTTTGATGTGATCATGCATTTGTCCTTCAGGGACACACAACTTTGGAGAAATTTTGTTACAGAACCTAATGGACTCAAGAAGCTAACTGGAAATGTCTGTTTATGTGTTTTTTTCTGATTTATTTATTTTTCGATTAATATCCTGCCTTTTTCCTACAAAGGGCTCAAGGCAGCTTACATCATTCTCCTCCTCCATCTTATCCCCACAACAACAACCCTGTGAGGTAGGTTGGGCTGAGAGTCTGTGACTGACCCAAAGTCACCCAGTTGGCTCCATGGCTGAGCAGGGACTAGAACCCAGATCGTCTGAGTCCCAGTCCCATGCTCTTAACCACTGCACCACACTGGCTCTCTGGAGGCCTGGATGTTGCCTTCTCTACTTCTCTGGCAGTAAAGTTACACTTCATTATTATACAAGATGGCTGTCATAGCAGTCTATAATACATTTTTTCACTAAGATACAGTATAAGGAATATATTTTTTCTGGCTCTTGACAGATGATGACATAGTTCATGCTCGAGATCAGTCTTTTCTAAACTTGGGAGTACAGAAATTGTTACAACTCCTATAATCTCTTCCAGTGGCCATTATGGGAGTTGTAGTCCAACTAATTCCCAACTTTCCATGGTTGAGAAAGGTGCTTAGTTACTCCTTTCAGACCAGTGGTGGGGAACTTGTAGCCCTCTAGATGTTGTTGTACACCCCTCTCATTAGCCCTCACCATTGACTCCAGTGATTAGGGCTGAAAGGAGTTGTAGCCTGGAACATCTGGAAGGCCACAAGTTATCTTTCCCCTGCTCCAGGGAAGAAGTGAGAAGGAACCATAAGTAAACTTTTAGGCTTGCTGGTGGCAAAGATGTCCTTTTGTGAATCAGAATCTAATTTGATTTGCAAGATATTATTCAGATTCTCTAACTGCTCTGCTGCCCTTGATATGATCCAACTTGCATTGTCTTCCCTATTTGTTTAATTTCTATCCTGCCCATTAGTCAGGATGACTCCCTGGACAGCTTATAGAATGTGAAATTGGAAAATACTGAATTTCTGCTGAAAACAATATCTTCTATAATCAGTGACCCTCCATAAGGTAACACACAGGACCATCTGAAACCTAAGATGGAGAAAGGGAAGAGTAGAAATTTAAAAGCTTTATGTATTTACATTGATAATTGTGTGACTGCTCTTGTGCAGCAGCCATATAATTACTAAATGAGATATAAGACACTTTGTGTCCAGAAAAAATTCTCCAGAAATAATGATGATAAATTGAATTCTCTTTGATAACTACTTTTCACCTGGAGCATATCTAGGCACGAAGTATGTAATATAAACACACTCCATTTAGTCAATATTTTACTAGCGCATTTCCTGCATTTTCCTCTGCTCATAAAAAGCATCACAGTGTATTTAACAACAGAGTAATAAGTGGCTTGGACAGTGGGATAAAACCTGGAGGTGAATTAATACCAGTTTAGCTAGCTTCTGTCAACAGTTATTTCAATAGGTGGAGGGCCATGTGTGTAGACACAGGAGGCAGGTGGGAACATTAGAATTCAGACATTTATTACAAGCTGCCCAGGTGCATATGAATATAAAGGTTCAAGGAAATATTGGAAATTGAATTAGCAATGAGGTACTGTGATGTTGTGAACAATTTGACAGGAATTGAATCTTGGGCTGCTGTCCAGTACAAACTTATCTGACAGTAAGTTCCATTAAGCTTAATATAACTTATTTCTGAGTAGGTATTCACAGTATAGCCCTATTAATGATGCACACATATTCATTCTTCTAAAATGAGTATTTGTGGAATACCTTTATTAGTCCAAGCAAAAGATCACACAGTGGTACAAGCTTTCAAAATCTTCCAGTTGAAAATGCTGAGGATGTTGCAGCCATGGTGTCTGCATGACTAGAGTTCTTAGTGTTGGGGAGGAAGGCTCTGGGAGGTGATGTGGTGGTTTCAAGTTTTGCCTGGAGCTGTTGGAGCTGCTCCCAAGAACGCTGGGAAAAAGGAAAGGCTGATAGCTTTGATGTCCCATTCCTGAAAATGTAAAATCCAGCCATTGCTCATATGAAAAGTAAGGAGTATTGGACTGAAGCAGATCTTCCCTTCAAGGAAGAGTCTCTCAGGGGTGTTGTTTGAAGAGTACCTTAAGAACATAAGACCCCTGCTGGATCAGACTAAGGGTCCATTCTGATTCATCGGCCAGGCAAATGCCGATGAGAAGCTCACAAGTAGGATATAAGCACTATAATAGTACATTCCCAATTGTACCTGCCAGCAACTGGTATTCATAGGCATACTGCCTCTGATACTGGAGCAACTATATAGCCATCATGACTTGTACTCATGGGACCCATCATCAAGGAATGGAAGGGCTTATATGGGACTTTTTTGGATTATGTTTGGGTCAGGTCTGTGTAAGACTGGGATTCTAAGCACCCTTAGTAAAACACGGGCTTCCTTGAATTCATTTGGACTGACTTGAGTGAAAATGCATTTGGTTGCACTGCAGAGACCCTGCTCAGACTGTGAACTGCACTCAGAAGTGAACAAGCAGTTTCACCATTTTCTATAATTGTGTTGCAAAGGGTGGGGCTGCAAAGAGATATTATAAGGACAGTATAGCCAATCTTAGAACCAGCTTATTTTCCTTTAGATCCCTCTTGGGGTTTTTGGTTAGGGTTCAGACATACAGGCCCCAGTGGTGTCTGAAAAAAAGAGACAGTTGCACAGAAATAAGCCAGCAGACAGACTAGCACCCTGTCTGTGTGAGTTTTTAACATATAACACCATCATTAATAGCTTGCTTTATTTGGAAATGTGTGATAGCTTTTCTTTTCCTCTTTTCTAAAATTATTTTTCAAAGAAACCATTTTCTTGAAATTGATCCTTTCTTGCTGTGTAGAACACTAACTTAATTTATCTATAAATCTACTAAACTTGCTTGCCAGATATTTTAATCAGATATATTTTTTCCTCATAGGCTGATCTTGGCAGCAGTGCCACAAAAAAGGTCTGTATAATTGACGAGATTGGTAAAATGGAGCTCTTCAGCCAATCATTTATCCAAGCTGTCCGTCAAATTCTGAGTGGATCAGGAATCGTGATACTTGGAACAATCCCCATTCCCAAAGGAAAGCCCTTAGGGCTGGTGGAAGAGATCAGAAGCAGGAAGGAAGTGAAGGTCTTCAATGTAAGTAGCTGAAAAACCCATTCAGGCAGTTTGCATTTTTAGCATGGCACTCTATTGATTTCCTTGTACATTTAATTACAGTGCAGTCCTGTGCATATTTACACAGAAAACATTCCTAGGACTCCCTGCACTCTCCAGCCGTCATTACTGGTTGGGGAATGCTGGGAATTTTGAACTTTCTTTTGTGCATAGGACTGAACCCTTCATTAGTGATCTGAAGCGTTGGAGGGAAAAAATGGGAACATTAGGGGAAAAAAGAGGTTTTTTGCGAGGATAATTTCTAGGTTCTTTTTCTGAAAAACTAAGTTTTGGTTTGTAATTTTTGTTTTGAATTTAAGACAAGGCTTTATATATACTTTCCCAATCTTTACTCCCCACAAATCAATTTCTAAAAACTTTACAATAAGAGTTATTCTATAGAAAGACTAGAGTAATGTAAAATTTCTGAAAATTCTGAAACCACTGAGGAAAATGCTTTTCTAATATTCTTTGTAAGATTCCCAGCATAGTTATTTCTTCCATTTCTTATTAAAATTATTGATCTAACGTTACGTTTGCGGACTGATAGACATTGAAGGATGTTCCAATTTATGCTGAGTTTCCCCCTTGTGGGTAGAGTCACCACATAACACTATGAAAGAAGATGTGCATTGCGGTTTGTTCTCTACTGTCCTGTATTTCTGGACTTGTTCTGGTTAGATGCAGTAACAGTCAATTAATGTAATTCTAATCTAAAACACACACATGAAAAATCCATTGTAGGTTATCCTGCCACCAGATGAAACAGACCAGCATGTGCATGATCTCACCTATGCTTTTTTAATTAACATTGAGGCTTGGGTCATTAGGACTCAGTGCTACAGTTTTTTAATAAAGTGTTCATATATCACCACTAGACAGTGCTGTCTCAGCCAGGAAACTCTTCCTGTTATTAGAATAATCTGTACTTAACAGAAACTTAGTATCTGATTCAAATGGTTTAGGCATGTGATTGACACAACACTTAGACAACCTTTAACCCCCACCCCCCAAGAAGAAGAAGTACTATGCTTGAGGAAGAGTTAACAAATGCAGTATTACAGCCTGCAACACATTCAGTTTCAGGGCAATGCTTGTCATTTGATATTTACACAGCACCCTGAAAAATGTGACAATCTTACACACCTCTAGTAGCATCTGATACTATCAACAAAAGTGACTTGAGGTGAGTTAAAACATAAGGCTAGGTCAATTCCATTTCCCCAGATCAAGGAGATAAAAATATGGCAATTCCTGTCCTCAGGAGGGAGCCTTAAGGATGCCATGTCATAAGGCAGAAAGGCAAATCCAAGTCTGTGTAAAGTTAAGATGGGTGCTTGCTCAACCTCTGAAACACAGACATGTGAAAACATGGTAATATTTACAGAACTAAGATGGGTACAATATTTTGTGAGTTTGGTTCATTATTTGTGATCTTTAACAGTGGTATTGACTTAACAGGTGATTTATGGGACTGGCTTTGGAGACATGTATCCCTGCATGCCCAGGGTTCCCGGCCTACAGACTGGCTAATAAACTGGAGTGCTGGTCCATTTAAAAGCCTCCCAATCCATTGCATATAAGGGAGCGAAGTCTCAAATGTTATAGAATGCCATGTCCTTTTTTTCTTTGCTGGCTTTTACTTTCCATCAGATTCCTGAGAGCCCACACCAAATGTTAGCACCTAAAGCTTCTAGGCATCCAGGACATCTTCAGCTCTGCCTATCCCTTTACATCACAGTATTTTTTGGTCCTTGTTTGAGTTGCATAACATTTTCATTCTTCGTCAGCATGATCGCTGTCTTCTGTTTGTCTGTGTCTGGCACCTGGTAACAACATGTCAAGTCCTCTTTATATTGAGCCTCATGAATCTACAAGTACCAGACACAAAATCAATATGGGCAAATACCCAAGATGTTCTTGATTCATTCATGTCAATTTATTTTGATAAAAGCCTCAAAGAATATAGATTTCCAGCTCTGTTTCTTTTTTCTACTTGATTCCTTTTTCTTTCCTATAAACACACCAGCAAACCCATCTCCACAGGGATTATGCAGGTTGATTTTAGCCTGATCATTCCTGGTTTTTCCTCCTCCCCACCCCGAGATGTCTTGCTCATGCACCCTTGAAATGTTCCTCCTAGTTCCTTTCTATGTATCTTAATTTCTTGCCTTCTACCTTAATTTCTTGCCTAAAGATTGTTTAGCCTTCTACAAGGAACATGATTTGTTGAGTCTTTTCCCTCTGGAAAAATGGCATACAGTTTTTACATTCACAGTTTTCAAATCTTGCATAGCTTTGCTATTTTGCTGATACTCCATCCACACACATTGCACCTGGCTACATATTTTTCCATCTGCAATAGCATGTGCAGCCTATTTAACTTGATCAATGTTAAGCATTTAAAGACCAATCAAATAATCTGAAGGTAGGTGCCATATGGCCAAAAAGAATGTTCTTCCAATATGGAATTATAATGAAGGATTCTTACACATTTGTAAAGGAAAAAAAACTGTGACTGCAAATTCACTAGTTCTCAGTTTGTCCTTCTGAGCAAGGACATGTCCGTCCACACCTTTCCAGACAACTGCTATCTAAGCCTTGCATGTTGAGCACTGTTTCATTAGATGATCGCCACAACTAATACATACTCTTTTTGTGCCTATATCTGTTCTTTTCTCATTCTAGGTTACAAAAGAGAATAGAGACAGCATTTTGCAAGATGTTGTGACAGCTGTGCAGAATTGCCTGAAATGAGATGCTCGTGTTATACATACAATCTCATGCAATCGCTACAGTCAAACTCAGCTTCTATTTATATCTTTAGGACTCCACTGACTTTGAATATACAGACACGAGTTCAGCTGTTTCATATTGTTGTCAGTTGGTTTCCAGATCAGACCTCTTCTATTTACAGATAAGAATATTCACTACCATCAAGCCATTAATTGCATATCCCAAATGTCAAGTTATTACATTGTTCACTTTATCATACTAATTAGCTTTGTATAGAAATCTGTACAGATTCTGTATAGATTTTACCTAACTCTGGATAATGTAAGTGGCAAATACTTTTGCACAGTATTGCATCAGAATTTGTGAAATTGGGATTAGATGTTTTCACTTGTAGAAGAGGCTGCATTGCAGAAGAAGCTTCTCTTGATCTAAGAGTTTTTAATACAGTTAATATCAGTTCTCTCGTGTATGTCACTAAGACAGGCTTTGCCTGTGTTGCTTATGGAATGCTGTTTAACTGGATCAGAAATTCAAGGGACACATGCTTTGTATTTCAAAGAAACAAGTTTATTTTGCAGGTGTTAAGGGATACATGATGTGCATTCTGCCAGGTTTCTCAATAGCAACTTTCAGCTTGGGGTTTTTTTTTTTTTTTGTCTTATTTTGAAATTTCAAAGAGATGTGGCTTAAATATATATGTCCATTAGGCTATATTGGATAATATTTCTTGTATAGATTTTTTTCAGCAACTCAGTTTGACATTTAATGATACTAGCTGAACAATCTGTTGTGTCCTCTAAGGCTTGACATTTTTTGTTTGTTTCATTTAGCACCTTTTCCACTTAATTAAAAAAAATCACTGTGGTGTGGCCTTTGTCCCATAAGACCTGTGCATGTTGTTCAGTAGAAGTATTTACCCTTAATCAGTTTTGTGTGTCATGAAATCTAAATTCCAGGCCAGGTGCACTTTTGTTTTCATATGCTTGGTTCCAGCAAAAAGTGTAAAGGCATGCAGTCCTTTTCTTTTCTTACTCTTCTGGTGTGTGAAGTGTAGCAAATGGTAAATTAAAGCATTCCTTGGTTAAAGGAATGTGAAAACTCAGAATGTTTTCAAAGCCTTTTGTTTGGAGATACGTAAGCATATTTTTTCATAGAGCTACAGGGAACAGCATCCTATTTGAACCTTTGGGCATATTAGAATCTGAGAAACTGTTGTGCGTACTGCTACAAAATGGCTGCCATGGGATATACCTAGTTAACAGAGGACAAGTAAATGGAGTTCATTTGAGTCTGAACCCCAAATAATAAATGCCTGTTTAAGCCCTACAGTGCACACACAAAAAAGCCACTTCAAAAAAGGAAAACTACTAATACTTAAAGAAATTAGGTAGAAACACCCTCCTACCCCCCCACACACACACACAAAGTGTGAATTAAGAAGAAACATACAACAGCATGACAAACCCATGGGAGAGTTATGCTACCCTCAAAAACAATATAGCTGTATTGAGCACAGTTTTCTTGATTAAAAGGGAGGGTGCAGATTGAATAAATAGAGTTCCCACCTCCCAAAACTCCAGATAAACACCCACCACGACTGTTTGTGATGCTTGCAGTTTCCTCTAGGCCAAGATACTGCACTGGATAGCTCCTTGGCCCAACCCATTTTTACAGAATGCCTATAGCTTGCTTCCAGCTGTCCTTACCTCCCCTACAGAGGCTTATTAAGATCCTTTGCCCCTTCTTTTTAAAGGCAGCTTTTTGTGGGTGGCTGGAAAGAAAGTGGCACCCAACCTTCCTACCTGACAAGAAGGTTGCCCTTACCAGCAGGATGTATCAGTTGGTTCCCTTGAGAGTCATTGCAGGCTGCTTTTTGCACAGCAGCTTTCTGTGCAACACACTGGTCGCATTTAAAAACATCAGCATCCCAACACAGCACTCTCATTTCAAATGTGCAGTAGATGACTCAGATGAACCCAATATTTCAATAGATAGGCTTAATCAACAAGCTTCTCACTTCAGTACTGTAGGAAGAGAACTCATGCTGAACTTAGCTGGTCCCTTCCTTTGGGGAAGGCTCAAGAGCTGTGATGTAGGAAATGCTGTCCTGCAGCAAGGATGCAAGTGTGTATATGGTATAGCTGCTGAGCTCCTGGTTATACTTGGGTTGTACCTGCGCATTTTAATTGCTTTAACAGGAAAAGGGTAATTTGCGCGTGGGCTTCTCTAAGCATCACTGTTCAACAGAGATTTGTAGCAGGTCAACCTAAACAGTATCCAGATGGTGTCACATAAACAAGGGCTGCATTATTCAATATGCATGGGTCAGTTTCTGTTTGAAGTTAACATATCAGTAGAAAGGATTACTTGTGTCATGTTTAAACTTGTTGATAAGATGAGAATTTCAGGAGCCGCTGATGTAGAAAAATGCAAATAAAGTGCTATCGATAAACACCTGAGGGGAAAATGCAATTAATGCCAATTGTTGTTAAGAAATCTAACACTGGGCTGGATGCAGTTTTATTCTACTAGTGGGAGCAACTCCAGGAGGAATTCTGTTCAGGATGTGCTTGTTGCTGGAAAATGGGGTGAACTGAGGTAATTTGCATAGATTCACTGCTTCTTTGTATGCAGACCCTGGTGCCATTTCCCTCACTGTTTCAGACAACTGGGGAAACAACAGATTTTGGGAGGACACATTGCAGCAGAAGAGGGGGAGTCAGCAAAGATCAGCTCCTCCCTTTTTCAGCCAGTAGAAAAGCACTACTGAGCCCTTCTGCCCTCGGGAAGGCTCTTGCTGCATATGGTGCAATAAGCAATAGAAAGTAATGCAGCCTCCTTCAGCTCTTCTGCACCTCAATGTCTTAAGTGGCTTGCTGTGAAAATGAAATGGGCCAGGAATTACTTTAAATCAAACACCTCGTTGCCCCCCTGCAAGAGTCAAAGAATGGTCTTGAGTAAGCCCAAATCTGTCTCCCATCCATAAAATATGAACAAGGGCCATCTACACGGGATGCAGACACTGAAAATACCTTTAAGAGATTCTTGTTGTTCTTGTTGATTTCAAAACACCCAGATGCTGGTAAAGTTACTGGCATGAACGTTTAGTTGAACTTACGCAAATGTTACCAGCAGTACAGAAGAGGGCCATTGCTTGGTGGCAGGAGGTGTATCTCTGCATTTAAGGGATTTTCGGTTCAATCACTGGCATCTCCAATTAAACTACCTTCAGTGGCTGGCCAACCTGGGTAAAATTTCTTCCTGAGGTAGGTAGCCAGTCTTTGGTCCTAATGGTCTCAGTGGGCTGGCTGTCCCACAGCACAAGGGGATCATGTGATCCTGCCACACAGATTGGCTGGACAGGTGATAGTGTCTAGATTACTAGAGAGTGGGTATGAGGGATACATTTGTTCAGCAGATATTTTATTGAGCACATCGAATTCCTCACATCCAAAACTACATGAGCCCAAACTTGTCTAGCTTTCAAAATCAGCACTTCTCTAAATTTTGCCATGAAGTTCAAATATGCACCAAAATTTAAAATCTATACAGAAACATATATATCAGGAAAAAACTGCAGAAGATATTATTATATTAGAAAAAGAGCTTGAAAATGTGTATATTAAGAGAGCTGGTGTAGTCAAGTGGTTAGAGTGTTGGACTGGGAATAAAGAGACATGGGTTCAAGTCCCTTCTTGGTCAGGAAGCTGACTTTGGGCCAGTCACTGAGTCAGTTGTGAGGATAAAAATTGAGAGGAGGATTATATAAGCTGCGTTGGGTTCCCTGAAGAAAGAAAATGTAGACTATATGTATTAGGCAAAAATGTGTACAAAATGCAAGTATTAGGAGAAATGAACACAAAATTCAGGATGAAAGAGACATAAGCTTGGAATAATGAGAAACTGAGAATAACTAACATTGGCAGATTCAGCCATCCTACTAGAGGGAACTGTTTTCTCTGACATGGGAGAGCAGTTCCAATTGATAGCAAGTGCTTATCTTCAGATCAGTAAAATAATGTCATACATTTGAGGGAATAAAGTGTATAGGTGTGTGTGTAGGTTTATGTTTGATTCTCACAAGCTTGCTCTGTAATGCTATAGAAACTCCTAGATTGGTTTTTCATATAGATTAGCTGCAGAAGGACACTAATGCAGCTGAACCACACTTCTCTCTGTTCGCAGGGCTTCTCTAAAGAAGCAGGACCAGTGAAGGCATCTTCATATTTTTTGTCACTGACTTTTGTTGTGTAGAAGCAGGACATCTGTTCCTATGTAGAGTGAGGAACGACTCAAGCCTTCCCAGCAGCTGCTCACCACTTGAGGGAACACCTGCTGGTGCAATTGAATCTCACATTATTTCACCAGCAGAAGTACTGTGAAAGCATCTTGCACAAACACAGTCAATTTAAAATTGATCTGCCCAGCATAGGTAATGACTAGCTGTGCTGTGACTTGTCCATTTAGCTACAGAATAGCAGTGTTTACATCGCTAGCTTGGCAGCATTAATGAAGGACAGGAGAAGTCATGGTGAGAGCATGGAGCCAGCAGTGATGCACGGAATGACTCGTTAGGGTAGCTCTTAAAATAACTGCAGTGTGTGTACAGCAGCAGGTTGTGTGTATGTGTGAGTGATAGGGTTACAGTATTAGTCATGACAAAGTTTTACTGTCTAAGTGGTGTAACTTGAATAGTTTTTTAAAATTAAAAATAACATTTGCAGAAAATCTACTTTTATCTTCAATGAAAGCAGCACACAATGAGCCATCTTTTTTTTTTAAAGTACCTCCATACAGACAAGTATTGTAATTCAGTGTAACAGAAGAGCTGAACTGGGATCTTAGAAGACCTGTACTCAGTTCAAGTCATTTTTACATGCAGTCTCCATGCTTGATATGAGCAGCCTGATTGAATAGGCTGATGCTGTCTTCTGAGCATAAGATTGGCCCCAACCTTAGTTTCCTTCACCTGTAACTGAAGAGGCTATAAAGCAGAGACTAAAAGGGAAAATCTTCAGTGACGATGGGTACGATAACTGATTTTCCATGCATTGTAGGGATCAGATTTCTTAATGGCAATCCATTGTGCTGTCTTTGTGTACTTCCAAGGAAACATCAAATTGTGCAAGCTGAGAGCTTTATTGGTCTTTTGTGTGTCTCCTCTTTAGTTCTTTTTCCATACAGCGTATACCCTGTTAAAGCATTTCAAAATGGCCTGTCCAGCCATCAAAACTGAAGTTGATGCACTGTATATAGTGCATATCCATGCACTAAAGACACCTTGCTCATCATCTTATACAATGCATTCTTTTAGCAGGCCTTGCCAGGGAGCTCATGTGCTAAGAAGCGGCCTGTTTCTCAAAGTTCCACTCTATTTTTGTATCTGGCTGCATCAGAGGGCATGACAGTGACGTTTCTGCCATTGGCTTGGCTGCAGACATTTGCCATTGGGATGGAACTCTTGCAAAATTCTCCATCAGTGATCATTGCACATCAGCATTAGGAAAAAGCTGGCACCTGAGTTTAGTTACTTGCCTCTCCTCATCCCTTTGTCCTTCCGATGACTGGAAGCCATTGTACTAGTATTGCAACAGTGGAAAGAGAAGCATCCCCTGCGATCACACGGAGGGTGGAGGGCTTGAGGAAACATTTAGTAAGTGTGTTTTAAGTACAATTCATGAATGGACAAATGGGATCTTTGGACTGCAATTGTTGAACTTTATGCATAATTGTCTCTAATAGTAGTAGCATATCTTGCTACATATACAATATATGGGTGTCTATGATACTTATTTTATTTTCCAATTTATATCCTGCCTTTTTCCTACAAGGGCCTCAAGGCAGCTTACATCATTCTCCTCCATCTTATCCCCACAACAACAACCCTGTGAGGTAGGTTGGGCTGAGAGTCTGTGACTGGCCCAAATATATATACTATGCTCCATTTCATTTTAGTTGACCTACTTAAGTGTCGTGTAAGAAAAAAGGTAACGTTTGATTTTTCATTTTTTCCTCATTTTTGTTTTGGCTTTGATTTCAAAATACAAAATAAAATAAATTTCAAAAATAATTCTCAAAAAGCCATTGTTTTAAGTTTATTGGAAAATAGAAAAAAGAGGAGAAAACATTGCTTGCATTTGTGGGAAACAAATGCACTTGGGAAACCTCTAAAGCTTAGTACCAACCCAGTGCAGCACAAACAGCATGACTTAGATGCAGTCTTAACTTAAGATCACCAACTCAACCCTTGTGAGCTCTTTGGTTTGTGACTTCTGTAAACAGCATCCCTCAAAATCAGTATAGGGAAGCTGCAAAGCTGAAATAAAAGACTACTTGAATCCATTCCAGGACAATTAGGAGCAAAACACAATGTGAGTTCAGACAAATAGTTTGAAATCAAAGAGAATGTGACAGGTGTGTCATTTCCCCCTTTGCCTCCATCTATTCGAGAATTGCCTGACATAAGAAAATGAACCATGTAGCACTGGAAAACACTTGTTCATGTGCTAGCTGCAATTATCATATGAAAGGCATAAAATGTTTTTGCCCATGAATATCTGTGCTCATCTCATAATACAGCTGCCCTGTGATTAATCATGGAGCACTTGTTTGTAGAAGCTGTATGTTAACAGCAACCCCCCCACACCCCGACACACACTCCCCAATTTAATCCAGTGCAGGATGAGAATTTTGAATTTACACTGAAAATGGCTGAGATGGTGATTTTCAAGGCCATGGTGCCTACAGTTTAACTAAAGCAAAGATTTCGGTTAGATTATGTAACATTTCTTACCTCCAACAAGCACAGTGATTTCTAGAGAAAAAAGCAAGGTACTGAGCAATCCCAGAGCTGCAGTGGGGAGATCAAAGCAGGAGCTTCACTGCTCCCAGAATCCTGCTGGGATTGCACCAGGAGGGAGGGAGTAGCCGCTTTTTCTTTCCTTCCTCTTCCATTTATTATTACAATGACAGCCTGCAATTGCAGTGCAGCTCCCCCTGCATCTCAGAGAATGTGTCTGTTGGGAAGGGGGTGCAGCAGGGTCTGGAGACTGGAAGGGCTTTGCATCCACCCCTCAGGCCACCGTCTTTTTGTCTGTACCCGCCTGATTGAGACAAGAGCATTAGAGCTTTCCATGGGAGCTTGAATTGGGCGTATCAGGCTGGATCACCTCCAAGACTGAACCTCTCCCTGCCCCTGGAGGAGACAATCCAATTTATCCTATGGTCCCTGGCACACCTCTCCTCCATCAGGAGCACAGGTTTGCAACTAGGGTGTGTGTACAGATGTGTTAAGATCACACTGGCTGGGAATGGGCCTTGAATGCCAATATAACTGCAGGGCATGAGGTGGTGAAGACTGGGTTACAAGCGGGTTTTTAAAAATTCTTTGTTTTTTGTCCCGCAAAGTGCCACACCCACATATATCTGCTATAGGATACAGACGTTTGATTACTAAGATTGTTAGATGTTTCCTTAGCAGTAAAAACAAAGCAGTACATTTCCTAATGGGTGGTCATGTGCAGTGTTGTAGAGGAAAATTGCCGTAAGACTATTGTATACCGAGGAGATAGGTGGTGTAGCACAATTGTCCTCTGATTCCTACCTTAATCGGGCCTCACCTTTGGAGACTGTTGAGGCCACCCGGCAAGTCGCTTACTAATTAGGATAGTACAGCATTGGGATGCAAGGAAGTTGGAACAGCAGATGTGGCTCGTTAACTGTTTTTGACTCTTAGATTTAGGGTAGAGGGGGAGAAGCTGCATGACCGCCTGAGCGAGTTGCAGTGTGAGATCTAGCCGAGCAAGCAAGGTGACAAGAATTAGGGCTTTTTCCTTGTCATTTGTGAGGTGAGGCCCTCGATGGCCGATAGAGGGATGCCAGCTTACTTGGTATTGTATTTCCTTTTCCATGTTATTATGTCTGTTTACATTGTAGTGCCAGTTTTAGAATAAAATCTTCAGGCTTTAACCCACCTGTGCGCACATTGCTTCTGGATCCAAAAAGAACCTTTTGCCTTTGGCAAAACAAGTGTCTAATAAAGACTCTAGTAAAGAAACTAAATGCCTGTGCCTTAAATTGTGCCTTTTGTACACTTTCTAGCCATGTTCCCAACACCAAGTACTTAACAGATTTACAAACGGCGGTTTTAGCCCATGTGAGTTCCTGTACAATTTGTTTTATTTGGGATATCGCCTTGCTTAGCTTGTGGGGTGGAAGACTGCAGAACAGCGACAAGGAATATTTGACTCTTCAGATCCTGTTGGGCTCCAACTTCCACTATTCCTCACCGTTGGCTATGTTGCCAGGAGTGACAAGTTGAACACACGTTCCCAACCCCTTCCCTAGACATTTCACTAGACTGCAGGCGGAGGGTATGTGAAGCAGTGCCGAGAAGGAGCCTACAAGGGCTGCACTGTGCCATGGTCCCTTTTGTCCATGGTAAACTACTTTGCGGCTGCCCAAGGTACTTCTAGGCAGAGCAGCCCCAGTGTTAGCAAATCAGAGGGAATTGTGCTGCTTGCCTCTCTTTGTTCCTTAACAGACTTTCCACAGTAAGAAAAAAGCCAGAAGTGATGGAAAAATATGGATGGTATCTAGATCCTCCAAAAAATTCCATACAGGAGGCAGGCCAATGGCACGATAAATGCTCCGTCTGGAATACACCCACATTTTGCATGACTTGATGCATTAACAGCACTTTATTGTGTAGTCATCTATCAGTCAGACAGACAGACTCCTGGGATTTAGTAGAACAATAATGGCTCACTTACGTATACAATTGTTGCCACATATATTTTACTCTGTTTTCAAGCAATATGGATGATTACTCCCTATTCATGGAAGCTTTCAAAAAATTTCTTGGCTATTGAATGACTGACGTGTACTAGTTTGTGAAAATGGCTGTGAGTTATTAATGAAATATAAAGCAGAAAGTGCATCTTTGGTAGATATAATTAAATCAGCAATAACAAAACCAGGCATCGGTAGTTGTAAAGTCTTTAATTACAAAACAATTGACATGTCTCTGTGTATGAGAGATTACTACAGTACTTTACAGTTGTGTTAAGTCTCTCAGTTTCAGAAACAGGCATGGATATCTGCCAACCAAACAAGTGCAAGGTTATGTGAAACGACAACCTTTTAGAGAAAGCTGCATTGTTTGCAAATAAGGAGCACTGTTGGCTTTGTGAAGGCTTTTCATGCATCAGCTATATTTGGTTCACGGCAATGTGTAGCCTGGCACTTTCATATGCTATTTTATTATGGCTGCATGCAGTGGACCACCTTCTGGATTAATATGTTGTAGCACATAATTGCCAGCTGCAGAACACTTCAAACAAACAGAAAAATGAGGCTTTCCTTTTGACTTTTTTTTTAAAGATTCAGCATACTAATCTTAGAGAATGCAGATTCCTCTCCTATTACATATTCATTGCTTCAATTAAAAACAATCCTTTCTGATGCATTATGTATAAAATGCCAGTTATTTAGCATGCAATCATCTATTTGGTTACGACAAGAGACAGATGTCGGTGTGCTTTTCACTGAACTGCATTCAGATTTTCTGTTGCTTTCAGTCTCGGTTCCAAGTATTCTCCCTCTCTGTCTCTTTCTCAATCCATCCCTCAGATGCTTCCCAAATTCCATCCTATCAGTGCTTCTTCAGGGGAAAGAATGTCAGAATAGGGTTTTTTTTTCCCCTCCCAAGATCATATTTGAATTTTCAGGACCCTGAGCTGAAGCTGCACTGCATTTAGGGCAGCACTAAATGCCAATTGTCCAGTATTGTGTTTCTACGCTGTAATATTTTTGAATAAAGACTTTTAACCAAAAATTAAAAAAATAAATATTTTAAGGTTTTTCTTTTTTCTTTTAGTTAGCTTTGAATGAATGTTAAAACCTTTTCTGGGAAATGAACCATGTCGTGTTTCGATTTCTACTGTACAGAGCATTGGCCTTTACACAAGTGGATGCTTTACTGCTCTTCTGAAAGACTGTGTTGAGAAGCTGTGTCTTCCAGTGCCATGTCCTCTTGGCTGGCTCTTCTACATTCCAGCATATGGCTCATCAGGAGGGCATGAGTGGTTCCAAGCTCCCTTCGTTGCCTGCATTCAGTAGCATCGGTTGCCTCATAATCCTCCGACAATTGCTTTTAAGAGAACAAGAGAAAGAATGTTGTCATCTTTGAAGGCAATTTCAAAACAATCGCCAGGTTCCAAAGGATCACATGCAGCACAGGGCTTTCTGGGCTTATTTCCAAATGGTGGTCCTTCATGCCTCCTGGAAAGCCACATCCGGAGCTTTAGACTCCTTTGGAAAGGCATCCAGTGTACCAAAAACTCTTGCAGGAGTGCAGGAATGGAAAATCATACCCATCAAGCCCTTGAGACACATGCAAAGGACTCTCGATTCTGGCCAAAGCTTAGATTCTGGGCTGGGACTGTTCCCCAGTCCTGGCTGCTGGGGCACCACAATGAGCAACAGAAGAACAGTAGCACTGAAAGCTGCAAACCAGTGTTTTATATTTTGCAGAGATAGAGCACGGGTAGTAGTAGTAGTATTAGTAGTAACAGAAGCAGCAGCAGCATGGTAGTACTGACAGTGATCCCTTAAATAGCATCTTAAGCACTATTCCTTTGTTTAGTGATATTTTGGTTACTTCTTAATAGAAAGTTGGGGTGAAAATGCAGTTCTCACCATCCTTTTTGCCAAATGTAGACTGTTGCATCACTGCAGTAGCAGAAAGCAATCCTGCTGTACCCTCTGCAAGATGGGATGTTTCAAGGCTGTCTGAGGAGGCAGCTTTGATATCTCCATTCTCTTTTTAGAATATTTCACTACTTTGTTTCCATCTAGCAATGCAGGATGACATAATGAGGGTGTTGCCAAACTGCTCTTGGTCTTGCTCTTCATTGCTTAAGCGTCCAGGGGAGTATTTGCATGGACTTCTAATGAAAGGCTTGGGTGAACAAGCCAACACATTCACCCAGTTAAAGGTTTCCCGTTTTCCTCGCTTACCTGTGTGGTCTCCTGCACAGTGTGGCTTGCTGCTCGGGCAGATGGGCCCATTACAATGTTAACACTGCTGGATGACTGAGTATCTGTGGTGTTTCCTCCATCAGCAGCCGAGAGGCCAGAAATCACCAAAGCACTTGAAAAACTCCTCTTGCCAAACAAAAGGCTGAGCGTAGAACTGGTGGAAGAGGCCAGGCTGGACCGCAGCATCACTTCGGCTCTCTCCTGGACAGTGAGCTGGCCCAGAGAAGGGATGGCAGGCGTGTGGGAGAATACCGAAGCTGCTGAATTGTGGAAGGAGAGCTGGCTGCCAGAAAGCCCCTGGGCAATTTCATGGGCGGACGTGGAAGTCTGGATGAAGGGGTAGTGGCTTTCTAAGACAGGACCAGAGTGACTGGAACGAGGGGGTCTCTGATTTAAGGCAGCATGTGTCTGAACAGACTGACTCCTGAATTTTCTTCTGCCTTTAAAAGAGAGAGAGAGAGAGTTTTTTTTCCTGGAAATTGTGTCTCTAGTGATATCCTTCAAAGCTTACTGTCTCTGCCCAATTAGTACATAGTAGGAAGTACTGATGTGCTGCATAATAATTTGTATGCTACATAGATTCAAACTTAATAAATGTATTTATCCTGAAAATCCTAAAGGGTTTTAGAGATACAGAAAATTACACCCCTATTGGCAATCTGACTGACTTGTAGGTACATCATTCAATCCATCCACAAATTTTAAATTTGTGTTAAAATGCTCAATACATTTACACCAAATCTGAGCCGTGTTTGGTTGCAAGTATACGCCACTAATTCCAATGAAGCTGGCTTCTATGTAAGTACCCTTAGTATTGCTGTTTCAGTATAAGAATAACTTATTTGAGAATGGCCACAATTCAAAGCAGTGGACCTGATAAAAGCGTTACTCTTGCTTAAGCCCTTCACTGTGTTGACTAAAGTTAAGTATCATTGACTTGAATGGATAGGATTCAAGAATATTTGACTTACTTTGGTTTGGAGACAAGGAAATCAACAGACATGTAGGCATAATTTTATATTGGCTTGTGAAATGTGTAATTTGTAATCTTTCTGATGTGAGCATCTATTTATGGTTTGTAAACATGAAACTGGTGTGAAAAGAATATAGGGGGCAGAGCATGGGAGCTCAGCAAAATTGGGCAGAAAGCATCATCTAGCTATGGAACAAAAGAAGGCTAAACAGAATTTACCAGCTCATCAGAGAGATGCCTGAGAATGTGCTGCATCGTTACTGCTGGTCTGGAAAGCAGCACTGAGCTGACCTATTTTTAAAGCCCTGGTGCCCATTCCACTGCCTTTCTAACTACAGAGAAACCAGCATTTCCCTTAAGAGTCCCTTGGCAGCATTCACTGAATCAGGAAGAAAACTGAACAGCAGGAGTTATTTAGCTGTAAAAGTACTATCTGGATTTCTTTCTTTTTCCATATGGCTTGTTTAGACAATAAGCAAATAAGCCATGAATGCATAGAACATCTGCTTGAACTAACACTCCCTTCTCCATAACAGGCACCTTACAGGTACCATTTGCTGACACTCTATGTAGCTTTTATACCTGGATTCAAAAGCAACATTTAGACATGCTGGGACTCATTATTCAGACAACCCAAAATTTTAAACACCATTATTTCTATAGGCCTCCTGACCAAATTGTTGTCAGACATATTCAGTCGCTTTCCAGGGGTTCTATGGATCACCTGTTACTTTTCAGTAACAAAATTGGTTTAGAATTTCCAGAAGTCCTGGTTCCTGCAAGGTCATGTTAGGCATACATAAGCTGCCAGAGAACCTGAAGGTTATGAGGCAACATAGAAGTGGAATCAAATAATAAATAAATAAAATAATGTTGTAACAACACAATCTGAGTAACAGAGTTAATTCATTTTCATGATTAGAATGAAACTCAGTAAAATTGTACAATAAAACAGCATAACCAATAAGTCACTCAAACTACTTGAGAAGAACTAAGGGCCACGATTATAAAGCTCTCACACAATCATCACCTCACTTTGTGGCTTTTGACTGTGCATAAGTTATGTCAGAAGAACATGACAGTCCATGATAGGGATCAAACTGGATGGGTTGCCATGCCATGCAAAACCAGACTCTTGTTCCTAAGATGGCTTATTGATGGACAGCAAACCATCCCAACCACCCAGGTGGTTGTTCAGCTTTTATCCAAGATGGGTTACATGTCATCTGAACTTGGCTGAACAAACCTACAATAGGTATGGGGAATTGGGCTACTAAGCCACTTGGGAAGAGCAACAAAACCCCCTTGCCTCTCTTGCCATCAAGAGTGGCGAGTCTGATAGCCATCCTGAGTGACTGTCAGTGACAGCTGCCCCAAAAGTGCCCGAGCAGCTCCACCTAGGTGCCCTGGGACAATTTTAAGGGATTGTCTGCAGCTGTCAGAATGGAGATCTGAAGAAAAAACAGAACTTAAAGGGTAAAGTAATGGCAAGTCTGAAAGGCTCACAATCACAGCAGGGAGGAGGGAGACAAGTTAGTCCTCCTTAGTGTCTTTGGGACACCCACAGGAGGACTGAGGCAGGGAGTAGGGAAGGAACCAAGGACACACCATACATAAGCCTGACTGCTGGGCACACCATGAGTTGCTCAGATGACAGCAACATATTGTGGCTTGCTGCCAGAGTGAGTTTTCATGGCACGCAGACAGACCATGTGTATAATTTTACTGACAGCACTGGAAATGTTGTAGCCAGTGGACATTGGGTATCTAACTTGGGCTCCTGTAAGCTGCTATTGATCAAAATCATTCTCTCTCTCTCTGATGAATGTGCTCTTGCATATTCATCAGCAAAGTCAATGATTCTCAACAATGCTTGGTAATGTCAACCTTCTCCAATTCTGGACTTCCATCATATCTCTCCCTCCCTCTCTCTTCTCAGCACAAAGACAGATGAATGTACAGCTGTCTTTACATTCAGTTTTGTACTCCGTCTATTTTATATGCATTAGGCTTATATGAAATAATACTTATAGCTGATGTTGTAAGCTGTTCCACTAGCTCCATTAGTAAATATTTCGACTCTTTCAGCTTAGAAGAATAAAAAGCATAGAACAAAAAGCATATTTTGAGAACTGGCCTGAGAGGCTATGGCCCTGTGTAAGCTTCCTACTGAGTGGATGAAAAGCTATTGCTTTTGGCAATCCTTTGAACAAATACCCCCAGATGTCTTTGAGTTTAGAAGAGTGAAAAAAGAATCTTTTATTGGAAATTGTAATGAGACATACCCCTTCACAACAAAGTGCTGCTTTAGCAACATCCTTTTTTGTACATCATTTGCTTGAAGTTCAAGGTCTGGATTAAATTCTGTTTCTGGATCTGCTGATTATTTTAAAGCTAATTTCTTTAAATAAAAAATGTAGCCAGGAAGTGAGACAAGGGATTCTAGTAACGCTGAAGCTCAGAGTGAAATGCAGTTGAACATCTGTTCACAATTTAAACTACTAAGCTGACCACTGTCCAAAAAAAATCAATATTCATTTCTAATTCAGTGGTTACAGTGCTATGTCGTAGACCACCCATCTTTGTACATAAATCACTCAATCCATGAAAAAACGTATGAGACAAAAACTCATCTGTGCGTTGGCACACTGAGGATTCAGCAAGTCAGCTCCTGAAAGAGGAAATACTTCCTGTGGTAAGTTTTTTGAATTACTATTGCTGTTGATGTGCAATAATTCTGATCTGGCTAATCCATATGAACTAGCAGTGATTAAGCTGGAGTCATCCCTTCATTCCCCTGTGTAGGCCCTGGTGCATCACTTTCCTTGGCATTCCAAGAACCTTGCGCCTGCTGCAGGAGGCAGAACATCCTGCCTGCATGGTCTGCTGATGATGGGCACTCAATGCACACTCTAGTGCGACAGCACCTGGAAATTAGTAACATCTGGAGGTATCCTTGTTTGCGGCCTTCACTGGTGTTCCATTGTCTATTTAAGATCATCCAAGATCAGTCACTTGCTTAGTTCCTCTTTAGAAAGGCAGGTGGTCAGAGTAGCTGCTGCACATCTGTGGAATTGCTTTACCCAGCAGACTCTACAAAATCCAAACTCTACAAAATCTTCACAATCACATTAAGCAGATGCAGGACTGCCTACATGATGTCAAGTGACTGTGAGCAACAAAGCAGAGAATACTTGCAGGATTCCTTCCTTCAACATATACCAAACTGGACTTTAAGATCACCTTTTCAGCCCCTTCTCTGGGTGCTCCCACCAACTAAGGCATAAGGGGTAGATACTAGAGGGAAGGCCTCTCCATTGGCTGGCCTGATCCTTACATTGTTGTCTTTTCAGCACCAGTGAAGATCTTTTTATTTTCCAGATTTGTCCAACCTTAACGTATTTTAGTGACTTAGGATATTTGGGACAGGGGATGTTAAGCTGTCTGAAACTTTGGTTGCTGCTGTAATTTCTGTAAATACATGTTGCTGGCTTCATGCCGTGCTGGATGTGATAGCTTTATTCCAGTATTAAACTGTTTCTTAAATTCCACTGTGAGATGCTTAGAGAACATTCCTTGCTGGGAGACTTATAAATACCGCAAACAAAGAAACAATGCTTTGAATACCTGGGAATTGAGCAACCGATAAAGAAGCCCGCAGCTGGGGCATGCTGTTCCTGGTGTGTTGGGAGCTGCTGGAGTTATTCGCTGGGTTGCAGCTGGAAGATGACCCATTTCTGCTGGCGGCTTCTTCGAGGTTCCCTCCACTGTTGTGGCCGGGATGGCAGCCCTTCCTCATCCTGTTTAAGGAGAAAGCAAACTAAGCAGGCCCGCCACACTGTCACAGACACCCACAAGAATGGATTTGTGCTCATGTGTGCTTACACATTTCTTTTGACAGATGAACACTAAACAAAAAGGGCTGGGGACTCAGGTCAGTGACCTCCCACTTCTGGCAGCTGGCAAATTTGGCTTGGGGAAAGCACAAGCATGTTCTGGAAAGGAACGGCTCGATGGCTGTTCACTTTGCATGCCAAAACCACTAACACTTCTGAAATGCCTTCATGAAATCATTGCTCAGTTGAATGTGCAACAGAATTTCCTTGCTATTTCTACTTCTTTTTTCCTATTTTTATATTTGAGCAATTGCATTTGAAATTGGCCCTTCTTCAAAGGAACTCAGTACATGGACTCCTCCCCGCTCCATTTTATCCACAGAACCCCGCTGCAAGGCATGTGAGGCTGAGAGATGGTGACCAGGCCAAGCTCACCCACTGAGCTTCATGGCTGTAACCACTACTGCATGCTCAGTCAGGGTAACCCTGTAATTGGGGTTATGAGGATAGGGTCAAAACAAATGTGAAGGAAAAGCCCAAGGACTGGATCTGGGGGTTACCAACTTCTCTTACTCCACTCTCAAGCAGCCACAAAGAATATCTGTCGAAACGAAATCTGTAGTACAGGGAAGGCTGAATGACCATTTGTTCCTGATGTAACCCCTCCCTGCTCAGGGTGGCTATAAACTGCTCTAAAGTGATGGGGAAATCTGATTGTGGCTTTTCCAGCTCATATCTATTTGGTTCTCAGTCTGCAGGGAAGCCCACCCTAGCCTGGCACCATGCAAATATGTTAGAGTACAATTCCCATAATTCCCAGCCAGCAAGGCCAAACTACAGATATTTTAATCCAATATGGCAGCTTCAGGTAGATGCCAGGCTCATGGGATCTACTTTGGCGTTATTTTAGTAGAACTCTGAGGTCCACCAGTGGCAACCATGTCCACTGACCGGGTGGAACAGGCTGCAATGTGTCGGATGAGGGGGCAGTGGGGGTTACATACTGCACATATTACACACGGCACTCGTACGACCTCCATCTACAATACAAATCTATAGTTGAGTTCTACAGATAAAAAGCAGGGCCACGTAATCTGTACCGTGTTTTAATGCCTGAAAGGAAGTACCCAGGAAAACAGCAAGGACACTGCTGAATTTGCTTCTCGGAGGAAGAGGATCAGCACGCTGCCAGGACAGCTAAGTGGGGGCGGGGGGAGGGGGGGGGAGACAGGCAGGGAGCCACTGCTTTCTTTTTTGACCCAATTTGAGCCTATGTAAATGTCTGGGATGAGGAAGGTCAGGAGAAGTCAGAAGTTCTCACAGCAAAGTATGTGTCTCCATCACCTGTTTTGAGGGCCTCCAGGAAATATCCATGCTCTCAAAAATATCAACCTGAGACCAAGGCTCTCCCATCCAAAGAGCATATCAGAATCTGCCAGAATGCCTTGTGCTTACCTGAGCCACTTGCTTCTGAACCATGTTGTGATGTTGTCCAGGCTGATTGGTCCACCCCAAACGTTCTTCAGCTGCCTGTGGGTCCCTAGGTATGACGTGGTCAAAGGAGAGACGTACATAGGGTACCCCAGGGGCTGGTCACAGGAGGAGTTAATTAGGTTCCTCAAAACCTGCTTGTTGTTCTGGATGCTGCCCCGTTCTGGGTTGCGATTGCGTAAGAATATCAGCTCCTGCTGCTGCCCAGCCCAGAGCCCTCTGACACACTCCTTGTTCACCTAGAAGCAGAAAAAGCAACAGATGGTGGGAACACACCTCTGCGAGTCGGTGAGTGCAGCTTGCCATCTTCTCAGTGGCTGCTTGGGGGGCTGCTCAAAGACAACCACACAATTCCATAAGTCCAGCTGGCCCTTCAGGAGTGGGGGTTGGCCTGAAGATTTTGCCTGGTTTTTGCTTAGTTACCACTGTTAGAAATGCAGCTGCTGGGTTTCCATTGTGTGGCGTAGCCTCCAAAGACACAGAGAAGGCCATCAGGGGGCGGGATATATACTACTCTAGTGATGTGGGGGAAGCATATCAAGGTTTCTGTGGCATGGTAGGAAATGGGACATGTAGCACACTAATTTTGTTAGCCAGCTCTTTTCTCTGCAACTTGTCCTCAGTCATTCATATGGCCTTAAGAAGACAACTGCCAGTCAATAGTGCGCAGAAATCTGAATAAAAGCCATAAATCGACGTTGCCATCCAGAACTGAGGCTAAGTTCAGAGTAGGAAACGGGCCTGTCGTATACTAGAGGTTGATGGGCAGTTGTAATAGCAAGGAGGAAATGTACAGTATTTTGAGCTTACCCTTTCCCCTCAGGCTTACAATATCAATTGAAAATATACCACACTATATGTGTATAGATACAGAATCAAAAATGTTTTGATGGCTCTCTGAAGAGCTGCACTAGTGTTTACTTCCTCTTCCTCTCCAGCTCCCAGGAGAGTTGGTTGGAAAGGCCTCCATGAAGGGAGGATGGGCCCAGGCCCTGGCGGTGAAACAGCAGCAGGAGCTGCAGGTGGGCAAGGTAAGGATGGCAGGTTGCCCCACCGGTTTTTTCCACCCTCCTAGTGCTCGCTCATAAAATAAATTATCTGGTTCAGTCGTTAGGTGACACTGGACTTAATTATATTTGGGGAAATCAGGAAGTTCCTATGTCTATTTTGTTCTTGGCAGAGAAAATTAAGTTACCCAACTGGCGTGTCCAAGCCTTCCGAAAAAAGAAGGTATATTTTTAATCAAGTCAATATCCATTAAAACCTATGAATAGAATGCTACTGAAAAAGATGAACTTGCTTTGTTGTCACCCACCAAGAAAGTATGAGATGAATGGAATGGAAGTTCCAAACCAAGTCAAGTAATAGCTAAATAATTAAAATTAGCGGCTGAGGTACCTTGATGACTTTGAAGCTCAGATAGCTTTTGTGAAGCATGATAATTTTGTATTCATCTGTCCCTTCTTCCACTACATGCCTCAGGGTGAGCAGTTCCTCCTTGTTGGAGAGGACAGCATTACGCCAGGCAGGGTCTCCTTCGTGGCAGATCACAACCTTTTCTTCAAATGACCGAATTGCCTCATAAAGAACTGCAGGTTCCTCATATTCGTCTGGACAGGTAAACTGGTCCTGGTATTAAATAAAAGGCATAGCTATGATCAGAAAGCTCTGTGAAGAGATGGAGGCTATCAGGGGCAGCATATGCACTTGCATCCTCCAAGAAAAAACGGTTTACTTCAGCTTGGAAAAGAGGTCATTTGAGACTAACATGATTAGGATAAAGCGAGCTCAGAGCAGCTATCGCCATCATCAACCAGAACAAAATTTACGTAACACTGAAGTGAACTGCAATTCTCTTGTGGATTTGAATGGAACTGAGAGAGTTCTCTCCAGAGCTATTGGAAGGCAACCTTTTATGAGAGGAAAACCTACTCTGAGCAAGAGAGTTAAACTTGGAAAAACAAGAGGCAGAAAGCCAAACTCTACCTCAAAGTATCAAATAGCCATTGTGGCTAAAGCAGTGGGATATAAATCTAACAAATGACTAAAATAATATAAAACTGCACATATATTCATAGTTCAACTCAAGAGAAAAGATGGTTAGAACCTCTGAGTTCTGCTTGAGACATACTTCATTACTTTTCATATAGTTTCTGCCCTTCCAGATTCTGAAATCTGGTTCTGTGCCAAGATCTGCTAAATCCTGCTAGTTCTGGTGGCTTCATGGAAGCTGGAGGCTACCCTGCAGCCACCTGGAGGCCTCACATAGCAAAGGGCTGCACTGATGCCACTCCCATTGCTCTGCTGCTTTGGAATTGCTGCCATCAACTCAATTCTAGCCTCTTTTGGAAATGGCCCTTTGAAGAGCAGGAGTGTCTGATCAACATTTTCACATTTACCATATTATTAGTACCATCAAAATCATCTTTCTCTCTCTGGAGGTAGTGCTGCTAGAGGAAATCGTATGATGGGTTCAACTTGCCTGATGAAGCTTCAGTGACATTCTGATTGCAGGAGCAACAACTTTGTGCAACAGGTCCATATCTGCAAACACCCATTCATCTCTTGATGTGATTCGAAAATCTCCTTTGAACAAGGCATGAAGGCCATGGAGGAAGGAATCTAAACTGTAGAATGATGACATCAGTTGCAGACAGCAGTCCAACTTATGCTTCTTTCTCCCAGCCCACACACACCCATGCTAGCTGCAGCCTGAGCTGCAGGTAAAACTCAGGGCACTATTATTTTCTCTTGATTTCAGTCCAAGTGTGATGAACTGTGCACTTGACTGTAGCTTTTCTAAAATAAAAACGTCTGATGGGCACCAGGTTGGGAAGGTGGCTCCAGGATTACCTAGATTCTTCTTGCTACCTCGTCCTTTCAATCAGAGGTGCCATAGATTTAGTCTGTGCCCTTCTGCATGGAAAACATGTGCTTCACCACTGAGCTCGGTCCTAAAGAACAGATGACTGACTCGGGCTCGGATTTATTTAAAGTAAGAACTCCTTATTGGGAAACCTGAAGCATGCTTTCCAGGAAAGCTACCTAGACTGTGGTGCATCAGTTTAAACCCCACAGGATGTTGCTTAATTTGCCCAACACGGTTTTACCACATCTACAAGAGAGTATTTTCCATTGTGTCCTTGGAGAGGAGTGTTAGAATGTGATTTTTTTAAAAAAAAATCCATTCAAGGTTTTCTTTCTACCACCACCTCCCATTTTGAGAATATGAGATCTCTCTGCTTAGTGGGACCTTCTTCATTCTTCCAGAAGGAGGAAAATGTGCTTTGTAACATTTAAGGAATGCCAGGTCAGTCTTCAGTTTCAACAGAAGACCACTAATTTTGGTTTTACAAGGTAGTTTATGCAGGGAGAGGCAAGCTTCAGGTCTGTAAAATCACTTTTTTTACTAGAACCCTACAATTCACTAACAAGGGCCATATGCAAAAGGTGTAACTTTTACAATTGAAGAACAGGCTAATCCTGAGCCTAGGACAACATTTTCAGTACTAGAGAAGAACTGAGCTCACAGTCCTATCACGGGAAAGTTCACGCCTGCTCATCCCAAGCTTTCTTCAGTTCAGCAGCCTAATTTTCATGGGTAAGGCCATTTTGTTGTCAAACAACTGGGAGTTGGTATTCTTGGTTAATTTGCCACACATCTCCAAAGATCTTCCAATCTACTTCCTGCCCATCCCTTGGAGGGATGGAAATAAAACTGTGGAAGGCATTTCTTAAATGCTGTTCTCTAATACAGGCTATACCTGGGAAAGCTAATACATGGGGAGGTGTCGGAGGGCACCACTGTGGATGCCAAGAGAGGTGGTAAGAGGGATTAGCAGGAAGAGGGAACTTCACAGGAAATGGACACTGGGGGAGTGGACAAAAGGGTCGCCAGGAACGGGCTGCACAATGTAGAAGGATTTTTTGCAAGGCTAAGGCTGACTGGCCTTAGCTGAGACTTGCGAAAAACGTCAAATTGGAAGAGGAAGGGGAAAGGGAGACAGATGGTAGAACCACTTAAAAGGGAAGGAGGGGATATGGTAACTGATGTAAGGGAACAGGCACAGATATTAAATTATTCTGCTTCTGTGTTCTCCCCAAAGCAGCTTGGGGGAGTTCTATGTGGGAGGCTAGATGAGGCTGGGTTATGGGGGCTCAGACTAGAGTCACCTCCCCAGATGTTGGGGTGTTCCTCAGAGCCCTGGATGTTACAAAGGCACCAGGCCCTGATGGGCTACACCCAAGGGTACTTTGGGAATTAGCTGGGATACTCTCCCATTCATTGGCCTATATTTTTGAGGCCTCATGGAAAACGGGAGAAGTTCCAGAGGATTGAAGGATGGCATTAGCGGCTCCAATCTTCAAAAGTGTATGAACTGCCTGTGTGGGCTGTGTTGGTTTCCTCCCAGTATTACCAGTGATGGAGGACCAAGAGAATGGGCCAGCTGACATCAAGGGAGCATGCTGGTTCAGGAACCAGGCCAGCCTCGCAAGCCGTGTCTTCTGAAAAGCTGACTCTGAAAACTGACGTCTCTCCCTTAAGCCAGCTCTATGAACACAGAGGCCTATCAGCTGCTTGTGTCTTCAGACAGCTGGTCCTGGTGGTGCAGAGAGTAAAGTGCTCAGGACCCCAGCACTGTCCATGAACCCACAAGCTTGAAAAGCAGGTTCTACCAACAGTCTCCTAATTACTTGAAATAAAGCAGTGGATTTTCTTATATATTTGCTTTTTAGGAAATGTTCATCGTTATATTCACCTGCTTTCTGCCTCTGCAAGTGCTTGCTGTTTATTCTGCAAATACGTGGCACAGCAAATGGCATCCAACCCAGCACACTTTTCTCTGAGTGATCCCAGAGCCCAGTTCGGGATAAAAATGTCCTAGTTATGCCCATCAGTGAATGTTTAGTGCATAAGAGCAGTCTTATAATCCAAGGAAACATCAGGAACCAAAAGAAAATGGACTGCTAATTGCAAAGCAGGGGATATTCTTTGGTCTATTTTTTTCTAAAATGGGATCTGGATTCATTCTCAGGGAACATGTATTTTAACACAATATCAAAAATGACATTATCAGCTGTGGCAACAGTGCTACAAGGTATCATTTGCCACAACACAACTTGGAGTGAAAGCTTTTTATTGCACCCATATTCACAATTACTGGGAACAATTCAGTTTATTATTGAAATGCACTGGAGGCTCAGCATGCCTACATATAAAGGGCCAGTTCAGCAATCTGAGCTCCTTAACAGCAAAGAAACTGCAACTCCAAAAGGAGAGTCACATTAGGAACAAAGTAATGGGAGACAATTCTGTAGCACAATTATTTTAAATATTTTATATGCCTTTCAATGCTTATGATGAGATCATCAAAAGAGAAATTAAATAAAATATGCAAATGTTATTGCCAAACTGAAATTGTTACTCATAACCTTGCTTTTTTGACATAAAATGTACCTCTTAGTTCATATCTATTGCATTTCCTAATTGCAACATACATTGTTTTGAGGGCTGCTCAAACCTTCAGCAAGCTTTTGTAATGTCAAGGCCTTCCTTAGGGCTCCCCCTGCCTCCCTGCCGATTAGTCTTTGGCCAATCGAAATATACGTATGCTAGAAAAACTGCTCTGTTTTGGCCATTATCCAAAAACTTCCTAGAGGAACTTTGGCTTCCCTCCTGAGTGCATTAATGTGGGAGTAGGTCCTACTGAACGGCTTGGTTCTGAGGTCTTGTTTGGCTGATATAATGTAGGGGCTTGCTGTCGAAGAAAATATCATAAAGAGATTCTGAAACTACTTTCCCACTGCTTTTAATAGTATGGTGCCATGCTGTTTTTATCATCATCAGCAGCAGCATCATGAGACTTCAGCCAAGTCCCTTCCAACTCTATAGATCTAAAGGGGACGACACTGCTGCCTGCTGGGTACTTGCAACGCTTCAGCTGCATGGATTTCATGTGTCTGTTCTGGTGAACAGGCAAACATGGGACCACCACTCTGCCACAGACAGACCTCCAACTTCAAGGCAGCGGTGAAGCTGGAAGTAGCCTCAGCATTGGATACTACACTATATCCACATCGCCTAAATATAAATGAGACTAAACCACCCAGGGAGTTTCAGTTATGGGGTGGTATAGAAATGAGATGATGATGATTTCCCATTATTTTGAAGCTTAAATAAAACACAATGTTCTTAGCACAAAATGTTTTGTTACTTGAATCTATGCTTAACTGGGAGTAAGGTCCACTGGATTCAACAGAAGTTGTTTCTGTACAGACATACCCAGAATTCACTGTAATGTTGCAATTCCACAAATTTTCTTTCTTAGCCTCAGAAAGGGGCGAGACTACATATTTTTAAATCATACCCTTGTGGAAGGGATGTCAAGAGTGGCTGCATCTCCAGCACAAATCACAGCTGCAAGGAGGAATTTTGTCAAGACCAGAGGAGGCTACTCTGCTTAAATTGGCAGTGTGTGCCAGCCACTGTTAATTCAATTACCTGCCCAGCTGCAGCATGCCATGTGGCCAGACCAGGGTGGCATGGCTTGTCAGGGGGAAAACAACCCAAAGGTCAAGTAACCCAGTAACAACCCAACAAATAAACTACAATGGCTTGTTCTGATTGTGTGAACTGGATCAGTGTGGACAAAGGGGTGAACACTCCTTTCTACCCATGTCATGGTTCCAGTCTGACTGGATTCCCCAGAGCTATTTAAAAAAACAAAATATACATACACAAAAGGCAGAAATTCAGAACACAGTCCTATGGCCTTCCAACATGGGTGGTGGTGGGCACTATTTTTAGAGTTACAGCTCCAAAATCCTGCAACCCTGAAGCTGCATCTCTGAATGTGAAGCCCTTGTTCCACCTTGTTCCCAAACTGACATGGAAAGAACTGTGCCAGTTGCCTCTCTGAGGTTGAAAGAAAGCCTCGCAGAGGGCTAAAGTGGCATGCTGAGGAAGGAGGCATGCTGAAGCCTGAGGACAACAGCTTAGGCTGCATATAAATGACACCATGGCATCCATCCCTTCTCCTTCATGGCATTTCATTCAGATAGCTGAAAATAGCCATCTAGATGAAATGTGGAGGATATGGCAATAAAGATCACTGCCCCCACTCTTCACACTTTTCGTTGGATGCATGCAAGCTCTCATGTTCAGAAGCTTATGCACATTAAGGGCAGAGGCACCTGGATCACACCCTTAATTTAGTATGTGTTTGCCTATGAATTGGGTTGCTAACAGAAGGTCAAAAATCACAGAGGCTATCCTACCCCTGACTTCATGGCAGCTATGAGACATCAAGTGGTTGCCTACTATGGGAAGTTTAAAAATACCTACTGATTTCTACAGGACAAAGGATGCCTAAATGTCTTGCCTGAGTGATCAACATATTATACTTGTGTAGTGCCAAGCCAGTATCAAGCCCACCTGGAAGCCCAGTCATGTTTATTACGCCTTCAGATGCAAACAAAAGGCAACAACATGTTGGAGTCTGCAAAATGCAACATGGGAATCTCCTCACATACTAGAGATGCCTGCATGCCAAAAAAGGACCGTGCGCCTGTTTTCCATATGCAGTGGAATCTTATGTTGGAGTACATGTGAAGGAGAAAACACATTATTTCTGCAGTCAGTCAAATTGCCCATGTGCTTAGGAGAGCAAAACAGCTTTCTCTTATGCACAAATAGCAGCACCAGATACAACAGGAAATGACTGGCTTGGGATAAAGACATTTCTACTAATGAATGCATTATATTTAGAACATACATAATTTCAGGATGTTCAAAACACTTCGTATTTATGTATTTGGTAATGTTTTCATGCTTGCAACTAGTATTTAATGCAGGTAATTGCAAATGAGGCACTGGGGTTGAGAGATATTGATAGCCAAAAATGACTAATGAATGCACAGCTAACTAGAGATGAGAGTCAGATATTTCAGTGTCACAGATCACCTTCCTGACCACTATACTACACCAGCTCAGAAAAAAACAATGAAAAGGTTTTGCTGCTTAAGACTATGACTAAAAGGAAAGTAGCACATCTTAGCTGTAGTATATAAAAGGGATTGTATGCTTTTTATAGTGATGCTTTATTTATTTATTATTTATAAATGAATTCATAATCTGCTCAACCAATAGTCCAGCAGGACTCTTTAAACAGACTTACAAAGCAGCATAGCAGGCTTTACGTAGAATGAAATCCTGTACCCAGTTACCTGGGAGCAAACCCTGTTGCGCTCAATAGGTTTTCCCTCTGAGTAGGCATGCATAGAACTATGCTCTTAATTAGCAAATATATTGCATAATTTGAGAGGAAATGATGGGCTTCTACTGACATTTACCATGGCAGGTAAATGAAATGTTATTTACATACATTGCATAAGAATATCTATCGCCACGGCTTGACATTAAAATCTTCTCATTAATTGATTAGACATAATGCATGTACAAATGGATGCAAATTGCTCACTTACATATATAATGTAAACTGCACATTTGGTGTAGTCATATACAGCTCAGCATTGCTCTCTAAACATTAATTTTGCCTTGTAACAGTAATTGCTTCTTAATGAGTAGTGTCAACATGAGAAAAGACGTAGAAAAAGGCCAATACGAATCTTATTTGCCGTCTGCTAAATTAATCCCACATTCCTTAACTGTAGTAAAGTAATCACCCCCACCTGTATCCTATACCTTGCGTAACAGCATGAAGTTCATTTCTTGGAATATGGATTACTTGTGGAACTTGTGTGGGTTCACACAAGGCCTGGGCATCACAAATAGAGCATAGTACAGGTGTGACCCTCTGCCTTGCAGTTCCCCCTTCCCACCTTGACAAGGCACTTGGCGGCAAGTGTAACACAGGCCTTCAAATGACATAAAGGGGGCCTCCCTACCCCCTTTCCGGGAAGCACAGTCTACATCAGAATGAAACCAAATATTGGTTCTTTACCACAATGCACCGCGCATGTCACACATTGTGATCCCAGTGAGACAGTGATGCAAGAGTGACATGTGACCCACGGCAGCCAAGTGGCTAGGATACTTGACTAGCCTTGCCACATTTTCTGTACACCACGGCATTTAGTACGGAACACTAATCCACTGTGGAGAAAAAGGGAGCTGGAGGCATGGCATACTATGTTTAAGCCTAGCCTTAATTAAAGTTGATGGGAGGTTGGGCAATTTAACCACACGCAAGATGATGGGCTTCACACAGACTTTGGCTTGGGTTATTTGGCTGCCTTTTATGCGTGCGCCTGCCCTTCAGATCTGATCGTGTCCAGCTGCAGTTTCAGCTATTATTCGGCCTGATACAGGATAGTAACTAATGCCAGTACTTTGCATCCTCATTCCCAATAAATCAATCTCATCCAAGGTACCAAGCTGCCAAATGTGTCGCTTGCATTAAAAGCAAACATATAATGAATGACTTCCTCTGAAAACAATGCAAACAAGGGGTAGTCTGAACTGCACAACAGGGAAAGGTCTTAACCCTGTACAATTTTATGAGGGAGTAAACTCAGTTATCAAAGCAGCATTTACCTGCAGGTAAAAATGAGCAGGATTGTGCTGAAAGTTGCCAAGGAAACAACAACACCATCTCCTAACAGCGCATATTTCCAGTTGTGACACATTACCTAGAGATCGTGCTTCCATTGAAAAAAGGTTGTCACATCTATATCAGATGGTAAGGTTAAACCCCAAGAGAGTTGTTAGGCCCAGTATTCCATTATGTGCCACTTTGTTACAAACAGAGTGCAATTTGGTGCAGTACATATTTCTTTGACAGAGTTGCCAAGGGGCTGACTGACAAAATGAATTGTATGCCTATTTCTTGCCTTTCTACTTTCTTCTACTAACCCACAGTATTGGGTGATAAATGGAGAAACAAAAAAACAACAACAAAAAAAAAACAGTTTCAGATAAATGAACACATTTCTGAGCCACCAGCAAACTATTACTGCCAAAACTATTGTAGTGTTGATATGAAATTACCTGATGGCCATATTGTGTGAGGCTGTTCCCAGTGCTCTTCTACCCAGAATGCACAAGGCAAAGGAAAGAGTTACTAAAGGAGAGTCTTCATCACACTCTATAGGCTGCAAAATATTTAAGGTTTGTCATTAGTCCTACAAAAAAAAAAGCTCATGGGCATTGCAACACAAAACAAAGTTGCACAAAAAATACACCAGTGTTGTTTTCAAGGCTAATGCTCTTCAGTTCCATAGCAGGTTAATGCAAGGTTCATAGGTTCAATCATTCAGCCACACCTAAAACCAGCATCTTACTATGTCTTCTCAAAGGACAGACACACTATTTCGACCAGCCTTTGCTTTTCCTTCTCAGTTCCTATTTGATGTTGGCAAATGGCTATATTTCCTTTAAAAAAAACCCATGACAGGAGAAGTTCTACAGCAAACCAGGCACAGTAACCCATGAAGCCGAAGCATGGGCTACCTTTCCTTACGCCAGTGCAATTCCCCATCTGAAATGTCCCTCTCCACTTTTTACAATTTATAAAAGATTCTTCTAGGATCAGCCCAAGAGCTTTTTCTCTCCAGAGAGTATTGATTAGAAAATTAGAACCATGTTTAGGGTTACAGAGGTGCCTCATAATAATGACTTTTTGTTTTGACTTTATCAACATTTTGTTTTAATTTGGACAAGCTCTTAATGCTGTTCTATGAGTCTGTCCCTAATAAGAACGCTGATGAGTGCCAGAAGTTTACATCCCGTTAGTAAAATCTGCAACAAGAGACGTACATGTACCTCGATTCTTTTTGCGGCACAAAACTGAATCCAGTCCAAGTAAACACTGCAGAAACTTGCCCTGGTGATTCCTTGAAGGCAGGGTACGTAGTCATCGTCAATGTTAATACTGAACATTGCAAGGTCACGCTCAATGTAATGCCACTTGGAGAAAGGCTGCAGTATCTTTTGGAATGAATCATCTCTTAGCCAGTGCAGGATTTTAGGGGAACTTGCAGTGAAGTATATAATGCTCTGTTGATGAAAAGTAAAATGCTGTTGGTTGTTTCATCAAAACCAGAAATCCAAAGTTACTGACTGACTGCAAAGATAAGAAAAGAGCTATCTCGGGGTAACAAAAGTAATCCTTTCTCACACTGCATTGCCGCTATATGTCTCCTCCAAACTGCTATGAGACCATGCTGGACAGTAAGGAATGGGCGTGATTATTTCAATTGTGGGCAATAAATGAATGGGAAGAGCAACAGGAAAATTAAGCGAGTATGAAAGGAATAATGGAATTAGAATTATTACTAAGCCTTTTTAAAATTTATGACTGCCACCCCCCAGTTGCATATTCAAATTAACAATTAAATGTGGGGAAGGAACCCCTGCTCAGTGCAAAGAATCAAGACAGAAAGATGGATACAAACAAGGACAGGGTTTTAATTTTTCAGCGTGTAGAAAGCGATAAGCACACACAGCCTTTTAAGAACAGCTATGAAGAAACAATGGAATTCAAAACCCACCACATTCAAAGGCAGCAGACTTTTGCCTTCTTTAAAGACTTTTTTTTTTATAAAGACTACATTGAAAAGCAAATCTGAAAGCACTCGGGGAATAAATAACCTGCAGTAACTAGGAAGGAAATTATTTCAAATATATGCAAAAAGGCTACAGGAACTGACCCACTTTATTGAAGGAAAGCAAAAATTCCTTTTATGTGGAGAAATAGTCCCCTCCTCACAAAAAACCCTTCGACTGTCAAATCAATGGCAAATAGAAAAAAAAGCCAATTCAAAGCTAACTGTTGAGCATTGTTTAAAAGATAAATGTGAAATCCTCAAGCATAAGATAATGTCAAATTAAATATTTTGAAAGCACTTGTTTTTCACTGCTTATGTTCCTCAAAAGAACACACATTCCTGACTTCTAATGGATTCAGTCTTTAACCTCTAATTCTCCTTCTCTTTTGCTTCACTATATTCCAGCCTTCCTAAACAATTAAAACACATTTTAGGTACAAGGATACTCTTAGATGGCAACATTATAAAACCAACACAGCAAAGAGAAGAACAAGACCATGAAGGAGCAGAGTAGCAGATCTCCTGGTGCATTGTGCTGGTTTTAACCTATAAAGCCCTATACAGCTTGGGACCACAATATCTGTCAAAATACCTCTCCCAAACTTCTTTTACCTGGATACTACAATCAAGTTTTGGGGCCTATCTCCAATGGAACCTCCAAGGGAGACTCGGTCGGTGTCAACAAGGAGAAGGGACTTTTCAGCAGTGGCACTCCAAGTTATGAAATGAGCACCCCACTTAGGTCCACCTGGTGCCAACCTTACTATCTTTTTGGTGCCAGGTAAACAACAAACAAACAAACAAAAGACCATCCTCAACTGCTGGCTGCTAACAGGTCAAAATATTATTCTTCTCCACACACACACACACACACACACACACACACACCTGTTTAAAATGTGGTTTTAAATTTTGTGATGTAAACATTTAATGATGTTTTGGTATGTTTTTAATACAGTGTATTTTTTTATTGGTTGGTTGTTGGTGGTGATTTAATGTGCTTTCTGAACTGCCTAGAAAGCTTTGGCTGTTGGGTGGTACAGAAATTAACTACTTAAATAAACAAAATAATAAGCCCTACTGGCTCATACCCGTGAAGAAGGGCAACTGGTTTGCTACTTTCCAGCCCAGCACTGTACTCTTGAAAGCAACAGGGCAGTGGTGTGCAGAGTAGGGACAGGGGGACTGAGCAACACCAGCTTTCGGTGAGCATATACTTGGCTCACCTGCACCCAGAGCCAGCTATCCCAGTGTTCCCAGAACATCCTGTGTCAGATCCTTATGCCAGATACTGCTGGCAGTAATACCACCACTGGTAGCTTTCCGCCTGCCAAGCTGTCAGCAGGCAGAGCAGGAGCTTCTGTGGCACCAGCAGGGGGCATCTCTGCCCTGTCCCAACCCCTCCGCTAGTCCTGCTGAAAGGGACAGGGCTGCACTTAATAACCCTTCAGTGTTCATTTGTTTGCAGCAATATTGACACTTAATCCTTAATGCCAGCTGGTGTCTTCCCAGATTACAATATTACCAAATTCTCTTGGTTCACTGATTTAGAGATTACCAGTTTTCTGAAAATGAAAGAGAGCGGTCTATCTCTGCTTGATAAATGGACTCTGGGGTCAAGTACCCACTGTGCATGTAGAAGGCCCCAGCTTAATTACTAGCAATTTCAGGTACGGCTGGACCTACTCCTGCCTGGTAACATGGACAGTTGCTGCCAATCAGTGTTGACAATATTGGGCTCAATGGACCAAGGGTCTGATAAGGCAGTTTCCTTTGTTTCATCTCCTGAGGTATCTTGCCAACTTTTGTTGCTTATCATGTTAGGACAGCTTGCTTTGTGTTCCAATAAAGCTAAAAGAACTAGGCTGTACATCTCCAATTGTATTTTTTACATGGCTCAATTATGAAAAATAAACTAATTACAAGCTAACTGAGGGCCTGTTCAAGGGGAAATGATAATCTTTTTCAGGAGGTAGGATACAGGACTTTGTTTTGTGATTGTGTTCACCAGTGAACCACAGGAAAAAGTAGCATATGACTCAGGAATATGAATATGTCATTGCAAATCATCTGATTGAAAACTAAGCTGAAATTGCAGGATTGGCTTCTCTTCCATCTCATCACTGAATGAATCATGCATGTATTCCAGCCATTGGTGATTTTCTATATTCAGCAGCTGGCACCTGCTTTTAAGAAAGTAATAAGAGCACTGTTGAATCCATATTCTTGAGAAAAATATACAGAGAGTATTCCATTTACTAGCAATCACTGAAATGTATGTTTTTATCTCAAGAAATTTATGTCCAGCACCAGTGGATGTCTACCTTTGCTGGTTAATATTGCAAGTGCGAGGGCAGAAGAAGAAAAGGAAAACCAAGTAAGAGATGGATTGACTCCATAAAGGAAGCCACAGCCTGAATTTAGAACAGCGAAGCAGGAACATCGTGCATAGGACATTTTGGACAGTTTTCATTCATAGGGTCACCATAAGTCAGAGATGACTTGATGGAATACAACAGCAACACTAGCTCATAAAGGTGATAATAACTTCCCTCCATTTTCTCAAATAAAAAATAAACAGCTATGCGGAATCAGACAAAGGATTACCTGCTCCAGCATTCTGAGTACACAGTGACCATGCTACTGCCTATGGGAAGCCCGTAAGTGGTATGCATGTTCAACAGCAGCTTCTTGATCACAATCCCAAGCAACTGCTTTACAGGTGTACCTTCTCCAATATTGGAGGTAATATGTAGCTATCATGACCTTGAGCCATTCATAGACTTACCCTCCGCAAGTTCATCTAATCCTTTTTTAAAGTCATCCGAGTCAGTGACCAGCATTACATCTGGTAATGCCTGTAATTCCATAGGTTAACAGTGCACTAAGAGAAGGCACACTTCTGTCCTCAGTCTCCCATCTTTCACCTTCATATAAGGATCCTTGCTTCTAGTATTATAGTACCCACTTTTTCCACACTGTGCCTAGGTTTGGACACTTCAGTCGTGTATTTCATTACTCACATTTTTTTAAATGGACCCACACATAGAAATGCTAGTGCTTTTTTAAGGATGATTAAAACCCAAAACAGGATCACTTAATCTATTATTATTATTACTATTACTATTACTATTATTATTACTACTACTACCCTGTGAGTGGTTGCCTGATACCAATGCCAATGGGAAACTAGCCTGGATCCTAGTGCAATAGATTTACTGTACCTTTACACTGTCCACCAACTGAAAGTCTTTGGGCAGTGTACGTTACAGTAAAAATTATAAAAAAATAGAAAACAGCACAGAATAATGTTGAGATAAAACTAACAGCAAAGAAATAAAGCCAGTACAATCCCATAAAACCAAATTACAGCCAACAGCAGAACAGAGTTCTAGAAGCTGTTCTCAAACTCCCTTGCAGAATAAAAGGCCTTCACCCATTAACTGGAAAGACCGTAACACGGGCTGCACAACGGGATGGTGCCGCTGCAGAGGCACTGTCTCTTGCAGCCCTCTCCCTTGCCTTATTTGATAGGGGTGACTGACAAAGGACCACCGAAGATGAACTTAATGTTCGGGCAGGCTAATATAGGAGGAAATGTTCTTTCCAGGGGACTGCCATATATCCTTTTCCCCTTCTCTGACCACTTCCCTTTGTGACGCATTGGTAGGCAAGGTGGTAACAAGAGTGATTGTGCCTCCTCGGTGGGATATTATGGAATTCGAACTCTGTGGGTCATCAGATAAGAGCCACGATTAAGGTAATACAGTAGTCCCCCAAAATTTGCGGGGGTTACGTTCCTAAAGCACCCGCAAATTGTGAAAAAACGCTAATTTGGTTCCAGCGATGGGCGGCCACCAAGGTGCGGGCGGGAGGTGCAGGCCGGATAGTTTTCTCCCAGCGAGTCCAAACTCAGGAAACGATCTCCTTGCAAGGAAGCTGCCGCATGGTGAGGCACCGGCTTACTCGCAAGGAGATCAGCTTGGACTGATCGGAGAAAAATCCCGCGAAAGACTGAAGCCATGAACGCTGAACCGCGATTTCGCGGGGGTATACTGTACTCATATTTTGTCATCCTGTGCATCATGTTGGCACTTCACTCTCCTAACCACCAGGTCCTCTTCCCAGCTGACGTGTCTGTGGAAAATGCACCATACTGAGCTGCTCTGCCAGCACCACCATCCAAGTAAGTTCTATACAGGTGCAGCAGTCCTGGCATTCATGATGTCGGATGAATGCAATGGCCACTGCACCAAATCCTATTGACCACTGGCTTGTACTACAGATTGAGCTTCAAGATTTCAGGTGCCTTTTCAGATGTACAAATGACCCATAACACTTCACCTTTACGTAATATCTGATGAGTATCCTGCGCAGGTCAAACACCTGGAGCATCGTGGCAGCGTTGTTGTCAATGATGCTGTACCCCTCCAGGATGTACTGAGTCCGAGTGATCTCCCAGGCCAGCCATCGAAGGTTGAACGCCGCGTTGCATGAGAGCCAGTGAGGCAAGTGGCCTGGCTTGCAGCAGCAGCAGCCTTCGTTGTCCTCATCTCCTTCTGTTATAGCCTCCACTTCTCTCTGCTGGCAGTATGTCCCTTGGGGTTAAAAAGGCACAGAGACCATCACTGGAGAAGTCAAAGAAAACCAGATGTTCAGGGAAGTCACTGGTCCTCCTTCAAATATTTAATAAACGGCAATTAGAGAAAGGACAGAGAGAGAGAGAGAGAGAGAGAGAGAGAGAGAGAGAGAGAGAGAGAGCTATAGCAGTGAATAAAATATGCCAATTAACAGAGAGCAGGGAAGTACAGGCTGTACCTTATAAAGTAACCTTATACTTTCACCTTATAAAGTAAAAAATGTGCAGTTCTATTCTGTATAAAAGCCTGGCATAAATTACATGAAACTTAATTACATCCAAATGGTTTGCCTTACATGCAGAAGGATGAAGTTACAATTTAGTAGGGTATGCCAGAATCATAGTCTTCTGGATGTCTAAAACAAAAGCAACGTTCTCTTTATGGCCATTTGTTATGGAGCTCTGCCACAGTAGTTTGATGAAAGCTGTGCACCAACAAGAGCCAACATACTTGTTCTAGGAAAAGCAGGTGGCTTTGGGTTGGATGCTGTTTTTATATTATTTTTTAATTCTGTAAATGTTGTATTTTGATGTATTGTTCTATTATTTTTATCACTTTTAAGTATGTTTGTAAGTTGCCTTTTATGGCTTTTTTGATAGAAGGCTAGACAGGCAAATCAAATCAATTGAACTCCATAAATATGCTTTCCAGTACCAGCCAGACAGTTCTGCTGTCCCTTTGGTCACACCCTGTTCCAGCAACCATGCTCAGCAAGTGACCTGGACAGAGATCTGGGCAAACTTAGCCTACCTCATTTCTTTCATGTCAGAGAACAGTGTGTGTATTCCCTTTCAATGCACATGTAGAAGTTTCCTTGAAGATGAACAGAATGGTGGTGGTGGTGGCAATCCAGAGAGGCTCTTGTATGCAGAAAAGTTCATGCAGACATGAAAGACTACTTGAACTTTTAATTGTGGACTCAAAGGAGGAAGCAGTGTTAGGCTGAAGCTGAGTTATATGACATTCACATGTTCACAACTTCTCTGCTTCCCCAACATTTGGTCCAGCAAAGGAGGTAAAAAAGAACTTGGCTTCTATGCCTTTTAGTGTCTTGCAGAAAAGGTAATTTCAGCAGGTCCACTTTTTATCATCCCAGCATGACCAATGAACCTGTCAGAATTCCATCTTCTGTACAGCTATTAAACTTTAATAATTAAATGGTGTTGGAGCCACATCCTCTCAGGCATCTAATCACCCTGTCTGTCTCTCAAATAAAGATTAGCTGTTGTTCCATTAGCTGTTTCCACATATTTGCCTTGGTGAATACAATCAAAATCCACTGAATTAAGTTCATAACTATGGATAAAGGTTTCCCCCAGTCTCAGCCAGAAACAGGAGGTTGATCTTTTTAAGTTCCATGGCAGTGAGGAATTAGAAAGAGTTCACTTCTACTTGCTGCAAAATTATTGCTACACATTATTATTTATGTCTGGTGTATTCTGCCACACAAATGCATGAAAAATAGTAGATGGCAATGAATAGTTTTAGTTTTGGAGAACACACAGAACCTGAATAACTCCAGTATTCTCAACTCTGCATAGATGCTGTACATTGTACCATGTCCTCCAGTTTCCTATAACTGTAGTAATTCTGTTCCTTTTCTGATTTTGTTGACAAAAATAAACCCCAAAAGAAGGAACATGCCAAATACCAGCAAATGTACAATGGAATGGACTTTAAGGTGCCACAGGTCTCTGGCTTTGCCAAATGGACAAGTAGATAAAATATTCAGTTCTGTTCCTGTCTTCCTACTCGACAATCTCTGGTGCATGTTGAAGCATCGCGATAGCCTTCTTGGAGTAACAGGCTGATGCACAAATGCTGCTCTGTTTGTTTGATTTATGACCCACTTTTCTACCAAAAATGGCACTCAGGGCAGGTCTGTTCTACACTACTTGTTTACATGTTGTGATACTGTTCTCAACGTTTATGCTTCATTTTGAATAGTTATTCCTACTGAGATATTTGGTCTACTATTTAGCCTCCCTTCAGGCATGAATTAGTCACATTTATGATATCTGGGTTGTTCATTCCCATTCTGGGGCCCATCAACGTTCCTAGGACATCTAGACTTATAAAACACTAATTGGGTTCTTGAACTGGGGCTCCCCATAGAGCAAACTTGTCCAAGCTGCTGCCCTCCAGATATTTTATACTATAGTTCCTGTCACTGGGTATGCTGGCTGGGGCTGATGGCAGTTGTAACACAAAATATCATGAGGACACGAGATAAGGAAAGGTTGCTATTGTCTCTATAAGGCTGCAGTGTATCACCAGCATTCCAGTCCTACCATACGCCATTGCTACAGAACCAGCTTGACTTTCAGCTCAACAGAGAGGACTATTACAGCAAACAGAACTAGCCCTGCCATTTCAGTAACCTGCTGCTAGTCTGAGGATGCTGTTCTGGACTTGGATCCCTGTTTTCACTGGACCACACACCTGCTTCTGATTCACTTGGGCTGACAGCTAGCTCATCTGGGTCTTGGAACTGAATGCCAGGACTGTAAACCTTACGGAGGTCAAATATTATAAACATAATCATTAAAATAAATAATGAAGACAACCAGCCTGTTGTTCCAATTGCATGGCAGCAACAGGAAATGAGAATAGTTTTCCTTTGCTTCGTGTAATGGAAAACATTTGTCTACCAAAAATATAAAAATAAAGCTGCATGCACCGTTATGCAAAATGTTCTTATTCCCTAATATCATGATGATTCATAAAATATACAATATAACCCAAGCACATTAGTATAGCATTTTTTCTGGGAGATAAATCAGCAGAAATAGAAAATCCCATCGGCAATCTCACTAACTCTGGCAGCTACCTTCTTCAATATACAATGCAATTACATCTGTGCCAGTACTGAACTCATTTGCCCAATATATCTTAGAAAGTTCCAAACAGAGAATGAATATTATATTAGTGGCATCAGTCACAAAAACCTAGGAGACATTTAGCAGCTAATAGTATTACATTTTTGAAGGACAGATGAATGAAATGAAAGAAAAGGGACACATTGCAAGCATCAGCATAGCTACCTAGAAGCGATTTCCTCATATATTTTGTCTAAGATCCCAGTGATGCTATCACTGGATCCACAGCTGTTCTTTGTTTTTTAACTTCTAGCCAAGGCTATAATTTGCTTGTGCTAAACATGTCAGTTGCAGCTCAAACACAGGCTTTATTAGGCCTGCTCCAAAAATTTCTAGGCTAGATGCAAAACATTCTGAAGTGAACCGAAAGAACCACTTCATATCTTTATGAGGAAGCAGGCATGGGGCTTGGATTTGATTTTGCTCACATCCAGTGAGTTCTTTGGCTTGCTGCAGTTTGTGTGCTGCTCTGTTCACTGCCTTTGCTTCCTCTCTGGCTTCTGTTCTGGTTGAAAGCACCTTCGAAGAGGCCTAAAAAGTGAATTTATCCTCAGCTGCCTCTTACGCAGAATGGGGGCAACTGCTGATGAGGCTAAGGATAGCCACATATCCCCTTTTACAAAGCATAGTCCTCTACTGGAAGGGCTGTTCCATCCTACTCCAGTTTAAAGATAAAGAATCAGGAGCAGGAAGCTGCCCACCCTCAGTGAACACGTGGGCAGCAGGTTAGGCAAGACACCTGACCTCAGACTGATACACTATAGTAAGATGTATGATCTTTCTATTTAAACCATGGCATTATTTTCAAAAATTTCATCAACAGATTTAAATTAACTCATGCATTTTAAAGAAAATTGCTATCTTCTCTTTTGGTGATGTATTTCCTCTTTTTTGTGATTTCTAGGTAGCCCTTCAAGGCCAAGTGTTGCTAATAAATCCTAGCAAGGAGTGGAGAAAGCCAAGGCAGAAGATATTCTCTCTACAGTCTCTGGTCCTCCATTCCTTTGCTGCTTGCTAATTTACTTACTATATTTATATCTTTTCAAGGAACTCGAGGAGGCTTACATAATTCTGCTCCTCCTCCTCTCAGTCTTATCCTCACAACAATGATGTGAAGTAGATTGGGCTGAAGATCCTGGCCCAAAGTCACCCAGTGATCTCCGTGTCTGAGAGGAACTAGAACCCAGAACTCTTCAGTCCCAGTTCTGCACTCTTAACCACTACTCCACACTGGTTCTCAATGGACTTGTGTGAGTTTCTTTTGTGCTCTGACAGAAGAAACCATTGGTGTGTTGTCCAAACCCAGTGAGGGCGAGCTGTTGGCACAGTCAGTAAACCAACCACAACCATAAAGCTATGGGTTCTGCTTGGTTTGTTAGTTACACCAACAAACCATCTACCAGTTTCAGACAATACAGCTAGCTGCAACAGAGGCTTGAATATTCAAAAGCCAGCATATCTTTATTAATTTATCAATTTATTTAAATTGTTCTATACTGCCTATTATTTTCACAGAAAATCTCAAGATGGTTTACAATGAGGCACAGCGGTCTGTCCTGATCATGTGAAGTCAGTCATAGTCTCCAGCATCAGCTTTTATCCATCTGTAAATACAACCTCCCCAAACCCTGGACTGAAACTGGTGATGGGGAGAATCCTGGAAATAAATGCAGACAAGAGGATGGGTGCTTCTGCTTCTAGCTGTCGTTTCCCACTCCCTTCCCCAGTATTTCCAAACACAGTTTTCTCAGCAAAATAGGTTTCCCCCTCAAAAATGTAGCTCTTCAAGATATATACTTTCTTCCCCATTCATAATTAATTTAACCATGATACAGTAATGTTCTTAAGTCCATATGATTCCTAATTCATATTTGGTTTGGGGTTTCACATATTAGCTTTGATAAGAATCACAATTTTTTTGAAGCAGTTGAGATCCTGGAAGCCACAGAACACAGACTGGCTGCTGAGTTTATTCAAGGCTATTTCTGATGTCATGATGATCTGTCTAAAGGCATTTCTCCTTTGGTCCCACGTAAGAGAAAGAATACCAGCTTGAACAACAAATCTGCTTCTTGGCATTAGTTAAACTGCAACTTGCTACCTCAAATCCATGCAATCCAAAGGAAGGTTTTTGCAGCACAAATATAAAGCTACTGGTAATAAAAAGGCAAGTTTAGACCTTCTAAAATATCATTAAAAACTGAAGAGGCACTATGAGCTCAGTTGTTAAAATGTTTTAAAAAATAAGCACGAACCTGAATATGAAGTATATATTTAGAGTGATAAATTATCAGAAAGAAGGCAAACATATTTAAAAAGAAATAAAATTCTATTGATTTCTGTTTTTCCTGTGTGTGTGTGTGTGTTTTATATTTGTACCAAGTGTTGCATCTTTAAAAAATGTTTCCTGAAATGTGGGTTTCAATTTAAGCTTAATGTGGAACTTACAGACTTTAGCCACCTATTGAGTACATAGTAAAGAAGAAAATATTTTCTTTGCTTTATTTTACTTACTAACAAATTGTTTCATATGCTAGTTTAATATCCTTAGTTCTCAAATGAAACGAAAGGTAATTTTTCCCACAGATGAATATATTTGAAAGTATATATTTCCTCTGTGCCCCTTTTAAGTTGCTTTGGATAGCAAGGAAATTAACCAGGCAATGCCTACAGTTTTGCTTTTTTATTTAAATTCAGAGATACCTTTGGGGACTGAAGCTGTATGTGTTGGGTGCATCAAAACCAAAAGGAATCTTCCAGAACCTCTTTGAAGTGGAGCTCTTGAGTGTCACTCTGCTTTCTTTCTAACTAATTACACTTGATGGCTATTATTCTCTATCCCCTCTTCTGCCCAGCAGAGAATTAGGGGCATCTTGTTAAAATTTCTTGTTTTGCTATATCTGGCTCTTCTACTACTGAGATGCCTCAAGAAGTACATTTACAAAGAAAAATAAGCCCAGGAATTATGATCAGTAATATGGCAATTATATAGGAAGAGAGTATGTGCCTTAGAAAAGGATCAGGTAAGTTTTTGATTCTAGGCATTTTCCTAAACATAGTGAAGCATTACAGCATCATCCTTCCAAAACATATCTACACAGGAGTGAGTCACACTGAGTAGACTATTCACATATTGTTTTACCTGTTCTCTGATATTCTTCTGAGCTTAGAAAAGTCAGAACTGGGGACTGTGATGTACAATTTCTACATCACATACCGAGGCCTTCTCCCTTACTGCAAACATGCAGAGAGATGACCACGCCCCATTTCTAAGCAAAACTAAAAAACTAAATGCTCATGGAAGGGGGAAAACTCCACTTGAACGTCAACCTTCAAACATGAGGACCTGTCATTATGCTCCCCTACCATTCATCTGTATTCTTTCTACTGCTTTCCATAAGCCTCATCTCTCTTTTTGTTCTCTTCAATGGAAATAATGATCTGAAATTAGATGTACATTCTGAGCAGGGAAAGATCCTTGACAATAAGCTCCAGCGTTAACTCATTGAGTCATAATTCTAAGACAGGCTCAGCTGCATGTTGAGTCAAGCTGCACCAGAGCTACCATCAGACCACTTCCATCCTTCATGAAATCAGGCAGTACAGCTTCTACAGGTTGTGATGGCCAAGGTCTAATCCTGTTACAAGAAAAGGACTTCATACTTATCATTTTCTGTTTCAGCTTGGAAAGGACATCCTGAACTGTCAAGTACTGACAGCATTTTATGACTGCCTGCACCCACAGACTTTGAAATGATGTGGCAACAACACAGATAAATGATTTATGTGCTTCTCAGGCTTGCAAAGGGCATATGGCAAATAAAGGGTCTGCTCTTCCAATCAATGCTCTTTGAACTATATAGATGCTTACCTCGAAATTCTAGCCCCCTGAGTTGGAAAGTGACAAGACCGTTTCCAATTTCAATCAAGTGAACAAAGGCGTTCAAATAATCCGATGCCAAAATAAAGCAGTCGCCAGAGCTGTAGTTTCCCCAGCGTCCAAGAATCAAATCTCCACAAAGAGATTCCTGCAGAGATCTTGTCAGGTGCTCATAAAAGATGGAGTTGAGGTTATCATCATTTCCTAAAACCACAGCAACACAAAGACCATAAAAGGCATGAGGAGCAAAGCTCTATGCAGATGTCCCTGGAAGGAATCATATTTTCTTGCTGCTTATTCACGTGGAGCTTCCTCTTTGAAGATGAGAATGATCCTTTTGGAAGCACACACTCCCTTTAAATCTTAGCAAATTCCATCTCACTAATTTTTCCACATCGGCTAGGGACTACATGGGCCATCACTCTAAAATATTTCTTAGATCCCAAGTAGCCCAGAAAATGGTGTGAAGGTCCAGGACAGGAGTCTATTTCCTGAAACAAAGCAGCTCGGATCCCAGAAGCTGCATGAGAACCAAGTGTAAGTGTAAGACACTTTAGGTTCTTTGGAGAAAGAGCAGAAGAAGAATGTAATGAATGAATATTATGAGCCCTTTTCATAAATTAGGACCAGTTGCTAAATTTTGAAAGCTTGGTTTCTGATGAGAAAAATGAGACTTGACAGGAATTGAAGGTTCCCCATTCACAGTGGCACTTTACATACCCGAAGGGCACAGTGCTATGCCTATTAAGACAAAGGAATGTCCTAGAGCACCCAGCAACCCTCAGCCAGCCATGCTGAGCATGGTAGGACTCTTGTCCGTCTAAATATGCACGATACTGCATGGTAAGTAGTTGTGTATACAGAACACAGTCTACTGATGCCGCATCATTGTAGCCTGAGTTTCATTGTGCGGAAACTCACCTATTCCTGATCATTGTGCTCTGAGCTTAGGTTGCAATGTTTTAAGCCTTTTAAACTGATTATTTTTATTTGCTGTTATATATTTTCATCTGTAATACTGCCAACTAATTAGAGATATCTTTAATTATAGTAAGTGGCATAGCATATAATTTGATTCATCATCATCATCTGAACTGTTATGCATTGCTTAGTTCAAATAACAATAGCTAAGATCACTTAACCTTGTGAAAAAATATAGTAATAAATAAATGTCATGTAGGCCATGTACTCATATAGGTATTTTACTAACTGGACAACAAATGCTTTAGTTAAAAGACAAGAAGGATTCACACATGTATATTTTATTGTTCTATTTATATTAATACCAGATAACTAAGGAGCGGAATTACTGCATTAATAGGATAGTTAAAGCCTTGGTCGAAGAACAGTTGTGAGTTTCCAGTCAGAACAGTATCGTAACAGTTTCAATAGGATCAACTAAACATCATTAAATGGTGAGCCAGGTCTTGTGCTTCAGAGAACTTTTCATCAGGCTTGAACTTAAAAACAAAAGAATATAGAAACAGAGAAGGGAAAGATCATGGCTGTTGGAGAGCATGGTAGAAGTTCCACTTGCAGTAGTATGTGAAAACCAAACTCCCATTCCTCATGTGACTTTTGGTGGGTCGCAATGTAGCTATTGCAGTACAGTATTTGTTTATTACAGTATTACATTTATTTGATTGTTTGTTTCATTTTTCTACCGTCCAAAAGCCAAAGTTCTGTGGTACTGGTATTATGCCATTTTATTCACACAACAACCAAGACTGCTTCTTGACTGAACAGGAACTTTTGAACCCAGGTCCCCGGGTCCAAGTTCAGCTCTCACTCTGCAACTCCACACTGGATTTTTAGACTGATCAGTCTTTTGAGAAGTGGAAAGTTTAATTCGCACACCTAAGCATTTACGGTGTGCAGAGAGTGTGCTAAAGGCAATTTAAAATAGGAACATAATATGATTAATGAAATGAAGCAAAATCTTCCACAAGAGCCAAACAGCATCACACAGCCTGACAATGTTAGTGAGTTTGAAGTCTCTTGCCTAATTAGCATGGTTGGGCTTGGGCAGCACTTTCACTTTCTCTCACGCATCAATGCTCACCAATATATTCTGTTTAAAGACTATCCAAGGTCCTGGGGTCCTTGGAAATGTAGGTGTTGAAAACCTTCAAGAAAGTTTCTCCAGGACTATGTTAATGAAGTGCAAAGCAGAATCAGAGCACAGGGCACTGGCAAACATCTGGCTTAGCTGTACAATTGCCCTCGCTGTAGATCAGGTCTGGGGAACATGCCAGCCTTCAGACGTTCTCACCTAAAACTCCCATCAGCCCTGGCCAGTACAGCCCATGATGAGAAAGGGCAAGGAAGGGTAGGAAGTGTTGGCCAAATCTTCAGACCCTGCTGTCGCTGATGCAGATCTTCACAAAATGGTTTCAATTCAAGACTGACCATGAGACGCACTGGCAGGCTGTTCCACAACAGATGGCAATAGTGGCACTCTAAAGTTGCTGCTGGCCACAGGAGCTTCGTTTCTTGGAACTGGTCATGCACAACAGCCCTGTGCTGATGCTTAGAGCACCTCATGATGAAGGCACTGTCGGGACAACAGCAGCAAGTTGCTGGAGCAGCGGTAGGGAAGGAGCAGGAAGTAGGGACAGGTTCACTTTTCCTAAAATGCAGCCTCTCAAGGCAGTTGCCTTAAAGTTTGGGGTAGAACTGAAAAAAGAGTCAGGGTTGATATTCTTATCTTAAATGCCAGAGCCAGCAGGCCCAGAGATGAGCTAAGAGGCTGGTGCGATCCAGACTATAACTGTTTCTGTGGGAAATGCTCCTGAAGAGGAGGAACTAGATGGAGACAGGCTGGATATTACTAGTCCAATGATACAGTGTCAGATCAAATGGGCAGATCAATTGAACATCAGATATTTCCACCAACTAGAATTGCATTTCATTTATATCCCACCCTTTTTCCTCTTGCGAGAAACCCAAGGCAGCTTACATAGCTCTATGTTATCCTCACAACAACAACCTTGTGAGGTAGATTGGGTTGAGGGCCAGTGACTGGCCAAAAGCCATTCTGTGAGCTTCATGGTCAAGTAGAGCATAGAACCCGGATCTCACAGGTCCCCAGTCCCACACTCTCACCACCATACCGCACCACATAATAACTTCAGGATCCTTCTGATAGCAGTTCTGCAGCAGTTGGCAAGCAGTGCACTGCCAAAATCTCCTGTCCTGCCATATATCTGGATCCAACCAAATGTATGTTAAATATTTTAACTAATCTTTCAGAAACATGAGCTTAAGAAATGCTGTGCCATACCTGCATCCTTTTCAATTTGAAGTGCCAGTCTTGTATTAGAATGGTCTACTCGTTTAGTGCTGGGAGAAAAAAAAATATAGAGATTATCCCTGTTAGATGATAGAAAAGTTTTTCTTTACAAGTTCAGTGGCTTCAATTGGCCACCCAAAATATTATCTTGCCATGTTTCATTTGGGCACAACCCAAATTCTTTGAACTGGTAAACAAACCCATGTAACGTGCTATCTACAACATTAGATTCCACTTGTTAGGAACAGAAGCATGAAGTAAATGTTTTCACTAACCCCTCTTTTCACATGAAAACAGTATCTGATCTTACTGATCAAATTATATTGAACATGTCTTCTAAACCAAGATAGATAAACTCATGATGGAAGCAGACACTACTTAGTACAGTAGGTTGAAGTGGTTGTATTTCTGCTTCTACACAGGCTTTCTGACGGCTGCTGTCAGAAACAGACACAATGGCTAAGGATACATAGGGTAGTTACAGATACTATTATAATCCCAAGTAATTTTTATAGCCCAGTGTAATGAACTAATTAATATCAGACAGCCCACATGGCTCGTGAAGAACTTAAAATCCTAACACTCATCTTCTTTCTTGCAGGCTTTAATCAGCACCTAGTTCCCTTTGTCTAGACTGGGCACTCCCTTCAGAGGAGTCGGAAGCCTGGCACCGTGCCACTCACTCACCTTGATCAGTGGAACCATTTCACTGAGTAAGAAATTGCCCCCTGGGATGCTCACCTGGCTGGTATTCTAATACTAGGATGTTTCCCACAGCCTAGTACCTACATTTTAGGTGTTCTGCATGTGGTTTTAATTTTGCACCATATTTTTTTCACTTCTACTATGAGACCATGACATACAGCAACCTAAATGAGTGGATTCTTGTCCGCTGCTTATTAGTGCACCATTGAAATGAGCAGAGAATTTTATAAATTTTAAAATTAGGGCTGAGCCAAAGCTACTCACTGTCTTAGAGAACATGGTTAAGATTGCTGAAAAAACACCTCCCATTTTGAATTGTTGCTGGCACTTTTTCTTCACTTATTCATTTAAGTTGCCCACAGGCTCACTCTCAGTTGGACTCAGTTGCTCCCAGTAGCACAATCATACAGCTAATACTGATTGGCTACATAATGTGATGTTAACCTATTCATTACACAATCCCACCACCAAGATGATTAACCAGGGGCTTCTCTGCAAGAAGCATTCATTACGCATTCAAGAACCCTCACTCATGTGAAGGATGCTCTGAAAGTCCTGCTAAGAAAGTAGAAGGAGATGCCTTGGCAAAGTGCTGGCGTATATTGTAGCGAAGTCCCAGGAAGGAGAAAGAAACAGGAGTTAGAGGAAAGAATGGCAATTAACATGATAAAGTGGGGGATAGAAAAAGGTGAACATTGAAGTCTCAGTATTTATTAGAATGGAAATAGCTAGTTTCCGTTCAAGACTTGAAAACAGAGATTTATAAGGTCTGATGTAAAATCCTGAAAGCTGTTGCTTTTAATATTTGTGATGTTTCTAGTGTGGTGCTGTCAGAAAGGAACATTTTGAAATGGATTCAACCCATCAGTTTTTAGTTAAACCTTTATTTTGACATCCTTGGTTTTCTTCCTTTTTACATTCTAGGTTACATGCAGCACAACGTGATTCAGATTCAGTCCAATGAAATAGATGAGTTGGACTAATTGCGTTTCACTTCAGTTTCAGTATTTCACTTCAGTCTGACTTCCTTAACATTACTGAAAGCAACTAGACATCCAACATCATGTCCATGGACCACAGGTCAAGCAAAGGGACCTCTTGCTCTCCTCTGTCCTTCACCTTCCCCATATGGGCACCAAATCTACTCCAGAAGATCCCCAACCTTCCCTAGTGTATTTGGGAAATGTGGAAATCCATTCTACCAGTATTTTCTCTTCCACTAGCAGATGAACAACTATGGATACAATCCTATGTAGTTTGTATGAGAGGAAAACTCAGCTTGTAATTCTTTCCCCTTCTCTTAAAAGCAACTGATTGGCCTGGTTCTCACAGAAAAACTAAGGATATGGGTTGAGCATGGGCGTTACTGAACTGTGGCTTGTTGGTGAATCATGGGTTATCTTTACATGTAAGCCATGTCCTATGGTTTCACTATGGGTTACTAACCATGAACAGCTCAGGAAGAGAATCCGTAGTTTGCTGTTAGATTGTGAACTCTGAATGGTTCATAGTTAGCAACTCAAACTAAAAGATAATGCAGGGTTTGCAAAGAATGACAACCCATGATTCAAAGGCATCCTATACTCAGTTTGTACTATGAGTTGTCATTCTATGCAAACCAGTGCCTGTCTCCTGCCCCAGCAAAGCAATTGTTAATATGGTGATATTTCAGTTGAGGAAATGCAGGGTTTACACATCACTCCACTACCCTAGTTATTACCTTTAAGCTGTAAGGTTATTAGTTGAGGCCATTACAGATCTCCTCCATCACGTGTCATCTGTCCCTAAGAGTTGCAACTAAAACTATAATGAGCAAAGAGGTGTAAAAAACTGGCTGTCTAGTGATGATCTTAAGCTCTTCCACCATTCAGTGAATAAGATACATCAAAAAAGGCAAATTTTGTCAGATTAACTTTGTTTCACTGGACTAGTACAAGGTAATGATTTAATCCTTTATTTTCCTCTCTGCAGAATATTCCTTTGAGTTTAAACATCCTGAATCCTATTAAAGACAAAGAGATTAGAAGGATGGTCTGCCAATATTTACTGCAAATATTCAAGAGCCTTGCTTCACACATTTTTTCAACAGATTAGAAACACACAGGGTGCTTTCCCTGTACATGTGGCAAAACGGACATATCACCATTAAAACATTACAAACACTAGTGTTGCTAAAAACTACAGCAATATGTGAATTGATCTGTCTGTCAGAAAAACAACCAAGAGTGAACAAAGGGAAGAGCCAAGTAAAGTTTTAGAACAGGAGGGAAATTAGAACTTGGCCTTTTCTGCTTTTATCCATCTCCCCCCTTTTTTTATAGTTTTATTCCATCTCCCAATATTTAAAACACCACAGCTGTTGTAAAACAAAAGCACAGAGAAACTACTACACTACCAAAGTTCTAAATTTGGGTTAATTTAGTTTAGGGATAGCCACAACTTCTGTTTTGGACTTTAAAACCTCCACACAATTATGAAGGCAGAATTGCTGCTACTTGTTAAAAGCAAGAAGAACCCATCCAGCATTACGACTCTAATATCCTGTATGTCAGACTCAGCTGCACAGCCACTCCTGGGCTTTTAGCTGTCAGCTAGGATCTCTTTTAAAAATGAACTTCTGGCGCTATTGGGCAATGTAGGCTTTCCCCCAGTGGCTTCTTACTTTAAATTTTGATCTTACCACTCAGACAGGGTGATAATTAGCTCAGTAATTGAATTTCTTCCTCAGTGGTGTTATTCCACACAAACTGAGTGCAGGTCCTTTGGAGCTACCCTGGAGGCATCTGCAAAATTGTGAACATCTTTGGTAGGGAGCTAACTAATTCTGAGAGTTTCTGCTAAAATTGACTTCACTGCTTCCTGTTCCCCACATCCCTTTTTAATGCCAATAAAGGCATGTGGGGCAGGTCAAACAAGCATGCGATCACACTATTTTATGAGTAATGTTTGCTTTCTTGCAGTGACGAGATTTTTTTTTTTTGTTTAATGCTGCAAACCAAAACAGCATTCCCGTTTTCCAGTACTCATTTATAGCACCTTAACTAGAAGTCAGAAAAAAATCTAGTTATATTGGACCAAAATCCAGATTTGTTAAAGTTAACAAACCAGAATTTCTTCTAGTACATGTAATGACCTGTTGTGGTGAGGGAAAAGCCCAAAGGGACTTAACTATATTGACTAATCCTTCATATATTTTCTGTTTGTTCACATGTTTACCATTTCTTCATATATTTTGGATACGATAAGCTCTAAAACAATCTTCTGAGCTAAGCCTTCACCATATTCCTAACTGCCTTTTTAAAAAGAGAGACATTAATATGTTTACTTGGTGGAGTTCTTTATTCGCACTTGCCCCTGTGGTGTGTAGTTTGGATTATGAACCACCTACCTCTTGGTTTTCCTGCCTCTTCTCTTTCCCACAGTTTCCTTTTCCACTTTTTCCCTTTTTACATGTTGTTTTTGAGGCTGGACCCTGCTCTAACCTGCTCTGATGCACACCCTCCTGCCTCGCTCCTCACTATGCTGCATCTTCAAGTTTTTCGTGCACTGGCAATGTAAATGCCTTTTAATTTGACAGAAAATTATGAACAACAGATCTTGGATGTGCTCCCAGTTACTATTCACAAATGTCACTCCTGTTCAATTAGCCTCAAAGAGTTTTATTGGCTAACACAGGCAAAAGTTGAAAAGAACAAATATGCCCTGGTTAAAGAGAAATTGAATTTTTAAAGGACTCATATTTATTTATTTAAATTCCATTTCTAGTCCTCTATACTAGTCCAAAGACTCCCTAAGACCCTCAAATCACTGCCTTTCCATTTCAGGTGTTCTTGATGTTCTTTTGGAAACTCCAAAAGACTTTTTCTATTGACTTTAGAGCTACAACTCCAAAATTCATTTTCAGCCCATGTTCCACTCTTTCTATATTTCCTGGCTTTTCAATCAGAGATTAATGCTTCAGATTCTTTAGGTCAACTTGACCAGCAACATCACTTGAAAAGATACAGTCACTACTGAGGGCCTTTTTGTAGTGGTACCCTATTTATGGAACTCATTCTCTAAAGAAATATGCCAGGCATCAAAGTTATATCTTTTCATGTGCCGGGCAAAAACTGTTTTTTGTTTCCCCAGTATTTTCATTGTTAAGTGATGTATGTTTAATAATTATTACACTTGTTTTTATGTATCTGCCTGGTCACTGTGTGTTTAAGCTATTATTTATTTGGTTATGGTATTTTTGTTTATTATTTACTTGATTTTTTGCTTTTGTTGGTTGGCTCAGGTGCTAAACTGCTGAAATGTATTATAACTGTTTTGCTTTTTTATGATTTTACTGTATTTTTAA